AAGCAAACAAAAACAAGTGAATATTCTCTTAACTAAGTTGTCAGCTATATAAATTTTTTTGAAAAACATAAAGCAGGGATAAGTAGATTTCAATGTGATATATATATACCTGAGAGTTAGATTAATTCTCTAATAAGATAAAATGTTGACATTGAAGTAAAAGTAGCAAGTTAATGCCAATTTAATTTCAATAGTTGATACCATGGGTCGATTGAATTTAAACCACCATTGAAAACCTGGAAGCACTGGACGACCGTTTCGTCTTATTGTGGGACTCCTCAGCAGTGCGGATTTGTCGGTCAATTTCGTAGATTAGTTTAAGTTAAATATTAACACCTTTGGATGCCGGCCGGTTCATTGGTCTAATGGTTAAGCGCTCACGCGCGAGACTGATAGGTCCTAGGTTGGTATCTCGTGAGGCGGATCGTGGATGCTCACTGCAAAGGAGGAGTCTCATAATAGGACGAAACGGTCGATCAGTTCTCCACAGTGTTCTCTCTTCAATTGACTTATGATCTCAACTATTGAAATTACTATAATATCCACACAAAAAACCCCTTCTGATACCAATTTAATTACATCGATTTGCTCTCAACTAAGATAAAAATTTGTTTAATATTTCTGTTTTCAGTAATTGGAATTCGAATGGAAGCTGAGATGTTAGATGATTTATTGAATGCAATCAATGTATCAATGAATACTAAAAGTAAGTGTTTAACGATAACTAATAAAACCCTAAACACTATTAAACAACTATCTATCCTCTAACATTGATAAGAATACTAATATTATCAGCTATCCAGTTCCACCAAATATAAGCATTTTGAAAATAGTAAAGCAGTTACCAAATATGATAAGAATATGTTAGCATATACAACTGATACATTCATACAAGATGTTCATATATCAAAAGAAAAATCCTGTACTAACTTGTTATATCCTAGTGAAGATTAAATTACGAGTAATTCCTGAGACTTATTAATGGACTAATATTATCTATATATTCCTATGGTATGATTATTCAATAATTAGATTATGTATATTTATATTCCTCTTATTATAAGCTTTATTTTGACCTATAGATCATTATTATACGACTTACTCTTCTTAAGTTATACTTTGTTTATTAATTACTGTCTCCCACGTTCACAGACACTTTTTGGTTTATTTGTGTATGAATGTTATTTTCTTATTTTATGGTGCGTTGCGGTCTGTTTGGTTGATATTATAAACCTAGTATGTCTGAAATAAAGGATTCAATTCGCATAATGAAGGCTGTTGTTAACAATCTGGATTCAGCTGGACGGGCTAGGCGAGCAACGGACCAACAGGACGCTAGGCTGATCAGACCAGTCGGACGTCATTGGTTTAGTACAATATAAGAGCGAATAAGCCGTATATTGATTGGCGAATAGATTACATGATAGCTAGCGGGCCATAAAGTCACAACATAACCAGTCTTATGAGTGGATAATAGAAAGGTTTAAATTTAAACCAGAATTGATACTTGTGTACTGTGACTCAATAGTTTATCGGTGAATACCATTTTGATACTTGAAACGATAGATTTAGGTATCAGCTAGGATATTGATATTTAGTGAAGTAAACACGATTGATATCTTGCAGATAAGGATGAAATGCACATCTTACGATTAGAAGCAACTTAATTTCTTGTTTTCAGTCAAAGAATACAAAAAGTTTAGCACTATGACCAAACCCGTGCGAACGCTTAACCTTTAGACCACTGAGCCGGTAACCAACGGTGTTAATGTCTAACTTCAACCAATCCACGATATTGCGCGACCATTCCCCGTTGACTCCGGTAAGTAACTGCCTCATGTCTGATACGGTTGAACTTCACTGGTCACGAATTCTCACCAGAACTCTAATGGTGGTCTAACTTAGATTGGTTCATGATTTCAACACGATGTGATTGTTGGATCGTCCTATTAATTTTAGATACGAAGTTAGATTTAGAAAACTTTTTCTACTATTAATAGTTCGTTAAAGTAAATGAATCAGAAAGTTACTTTATAAGCTTGAAATAAAAACACAAAAAATCCTGCCCTACACTGAAAACAATCACTAGTAATCTGGTTAGAGAAACATTTGACTGACTAGTAGTATCTTTCATTCATGAGTGAATTTAAAGTGAATTGACGAAACGACAGAATTCGTTTTTGGCGGTAGATATACTGATTCGAAATTCACCTTTTACTATGATTTAACTTTTTATTGTACCAAAATTCGACGATTGACTGTTTTCAACTGATCTCCATTGAGTTATCACCGAATATGTCTTCTACCTTCTAATTATTCAAATATCAATATTTTATTCTAATTGTATATTCGTGTTCAAGTAAGTTAGTAAAATTCTGAAACGACTTAATTGTTGTAACGTGTGGACTGCAGGGTTTTATAAGCAGCGTATTTATTGATCGCTTCGGTGACAGTGAACACGTAAGGATGACCTCGTGCCCCGACACACACGTTACAACATTAATAAATGCCACATTGGTTATTAGGTCATAACAAATACAAGTTATCAACCAATGAAGACATATGTTTCTTCCCTAATCATTTCCTATTTCGAAACTTTAAAAACTCAATGAAAACCAATCACTAGGAGCTATTCATCATATTCTGCCCAGAAATTAACTGTCATATATCTTTGATTTACTGCTATAATTGTGCAGACTTATACACTGTTGATCATCCTACTTACAAGATTACAAATACAGATTGAGTTAGGTTTACTTCAATAACAGTTAGAGATTACATTGTGAACATGTCATGAATAGATTCCAGAACATCAATAGGAACAAGACATTCAAATAATTAGGGGCAACTTGTTCACTATCAAAATTTATTTACTATAGCAATTTAAAAAGCCTTTTTCTGTTGTTGTTGTTACATTACTTTATTTCAAAACATTTTCTATCTTATCTATCTAGACAATAATAGTCTGTGGATTTACGATATTTTAATCCAATTGAGTAAAACAGCACGATTTGATTGTGCCTTATTCTTAATAAGTGATGCCACAAAAGAAGGTAGGTATTCGTTTTGTACACTGCATAAAATAACTAATATCAAAAAAGTACCGATTTTTTTTATCATAGGCGAGTATCAATCCAATCGATACAACGATTACCTAATAACTTCAAATGTTTCAGTCAGTCATGAACAAACACAGACCTTTATAAAGAAGTGTATCAGTTTAAGTTACACTGCATCATTACAATGGGATGAAAACTAAATTAGTAGCAATATCGGTGATCTAAAAAAAGGGTTATGCATAACGAATACGATTCGAAAGAAGGAATGAATTCAATTGTAACATTTTTGACTGATTCTAAGTCATGTCGCCCAATATCTCTAACTATCGGCCACGATAATCGAATAGAACCCAACCACGTAATCTGTGCCTACAAATATAACTCAAATGTATGATCCATAACTTTATGAGTTGATACCACATGTTAGTTTGGACCCTTCTAACCTTCTTCAAACTAATTTTTATTCCTACTAACATTACATTTTGAGCCAAACAATAATTTTGTATACATAACATAATTTATGCATAAATGTAGAAACTGAGAAAATTAAATCAGATCATGAGTCAGTTGAAGCTAGACAACCATGGAAAACGTGGAAGCACTGGACGGCCGTTTCATCCTATTGTGGAACTCCTCAGCAGTGAGCATCCACGATTCAGCCCCTCCTCGGCGAGATTTAAATCCAGGACCTATCAGTCTCGTGCACGAGCGCTTAACCACTAGACCACTAGAATTTAGTGACAATGTTTGATGATTGTTTGAATTGAAATTAAAAAAACTAATTATTCTTTAGAGAAAATTTTTATTTTCTATAATATTAAGTTATCTTGATATTGTTTAGCTTGTATCTTCCCACTGAGGTTTAAGGCTGCAATTGATCAGTCTATTAAGACGAAATGCACGTCCTGGATTTCACTGCTAGCCACTATCCATCATTGCTTACATTAAGTTATCTTAATTATAAACCCGTCATTTTTCTTCTCTTTAGCTATAAAATGTATAATCGATACATTACACCATCGTTATCAACAACAATCTAGTGAATTGAAACAATGTCATATTGAACAACTTCAATCCATTTACTCAATATAAAAGAAGATTAAAAAACAGTAGTATATCACTGGTAGATGAACATTTATTCCTCTGTTCAATGATTCTGAACATCTATTACATTTCAATCAATATACAAGAATACAATTTAGAGAGACAAAAATCAATTTATATATATGCGTGTTTGTGTGTGTGTGTGACTATGTATGGTTGAATGATCAAAAAAATTCCCCCCTCCCAAAGAAATAGGCAATTTCTTTTCTAATTTATTTAATGTTACACTGTAAATAATGGGTGTTGTCTGTTCTCTTTTTTTTTGTTTGTTATATCTTAGTGCTTTATTATACTACTTATATTCTTAATACATATGAACACCTACCATACATTTGTTGTATAATGATGAAATCAATGGTAAATAGTGTTAGAATGATAGAATAAACAAAACAAAATAATAATAATTGATGGAAATGGGATAAGATGAAGGGTAAAAACAACAAATCAACAAAATAATTAATTATGAAAGACACTAACTATTACACATATACATTATATAACAAATGTGTATATGTGTCTGTGTGTGTGTGTGCAAACAAAACAAAACAAACAGATAAACGAAACAAGATAAATTTACAGAGAACAATTTATACATACATACATACATACACAAACACACATAAATGTAAACGTATAGATTTATTTAATATTGTGCTGATAGAATTACCTACTCGTGTAATACATTTGAGTTGTGTTTAGTCCCCCCTCTCTCTCTTTATATATATATATATATATTCTCAGGTTGAATCCTTAGTACTCTGTGATTCAGCCGTTCACCAATTATTCATGGTGTTGTGATATTTAAAAAAGTGAAATGGGGTTGTGGTTGCCGGTAGCAATAATAATAACAATAATAATAATAACATCAATTATGAATACTCATTGATGAAGATGATGACGATGCGACACTAGTGGTTTCTCGATGCTCATTCTTCAAATTGTTACTATCTGTCCCGTTCCCATTGAAATTGTTGATATTGTCCTCTTTCCTTATGTTAGCAGAAGGAATACTAGTAGTAATTGAAGTAACAGTTGTGGGATTATGTAGACTGTTGTTTAAGTATGATGAAATAGAATTATTATTATTACTATCAATAGTATTAGTAGTAGCATAATTGTTACCAGTATTATTTTCTTTGGTAACTAAATAACTTAACACCAAATCACCTGACTGTTTCCAATAGAAATAACGAGCACTGCGTAAATTCATATTAGGATCAAGACACTGTTATAAGTGGAATACAAAGAACAAGAAAAGGTAAGATAGTTTTCGGAAAAAAAAGTATTCAAATCATATGTTATCTTATTGCAAACATAAATTAATGGAAAAGAAGAAATATTGAATAAATAAAAATAAAACATTATATCAATGAATACTTCGTTTATTCTAAATGGTAATGAATCCTGACCACTGGCTAAACATGGAATATTTCTGATATATTATATCCTGGAGCACAATTAACTAATCAATGAATAGCCCCCAAATGTCCTGGTACGGCCACGAGTTGGGAGAGTCCGCTCTCCCTCTTGAAAGGCTCTCACACGATCACGCATATATAGCCTCTGCCAGGGAAGTCCTACTCACTGAATTCCCGTGGCGGGAGTGTTGTTTACGGAATTAAGTAGACGAAAAGCTGACTTCCAGCGTTTTAACCGGGTTGGTGGATATCGAGAGCCCACCTAGGCGAGTTGGAAAACCCCCACTCCAAACCAATAGTGCATATAGGCTCCAGTATCCCGAGGGAACGAATGGCGTATGAACCAATTATTGCTCACCGGCAACCATCGGATTGCATCTCTTTACGACGCTCCACTTGCCTTGTGGATCAGACCTTTAGGCCGAAGGCTCCAGTTGTGGCTCCCTAAGAAAACCACCTGTTTCGGTTTGGGCATCCGGGCGGTGTCACAGCCCTCACAAAAATCAAATGTGATTCGTGTGGCGCATATATATCTGGTGCCACCTTGTACCAGTATTTATATGTTTAAATAAATGAAATAAATAAATCAATGAATAACTACTTCACTATCAAATAATTGTCTCATTTTGTTGATATTATTTTATCAATGATATTCATTAATAAACTTAAATATAAGATGATTAAACATTTCTAGAATATTCTGAACTAGAAATTATGATTTTCTTTAAATTGTTGAATAATTCTGTTTGAATTCAAAGAGTTCAGTAGCCATAATGCAAAAAGCATCATGGAATGTAATGAAACCCTTTTTTACTAATGAATTTCAGTGAACTAATAACTCCTAGTAAGATGTATCTACAATTCCCAAAGATGTAATAATTTTTCATAAAACTTAAATTGCATCACCAACCACGTCACACACACACACGACGATATGAAAAATAAAGTATTCTTTGATACTGAATAATTTCCTTTAGTCAACTAACATATTCGCACGGATTGATCATTGACAACACTAATCAATGATGTCTACATTTTATTTAAATGACTGTCATTGGAGACGTACTTTTTTAATTTATTAGGGATTAGTAGTTTATACTCAAGATGATCTGAAAGAATCCTATCGATTATTCATTCATAAAATAACTACCTCATATAATGATGTTGCTGGAACGAGGAATTCATCGCGTGTATAAGATTTAAATCATCATTTTATATGCTCAAATAGACTATTCACGGAATATGAGTGAACTGATTAAGTGTACGGACAAATTTAATTAATTTTGAGAAATGTATGTGACAAAATGTTTAGCACAAGTACAAACATACAAAGAAATTCTCGTTTAATTCTGTAACCTCTATATACCTAATTTGTGATATCAACAACACAATTTACTTGACTAATGAAGAATCAAAATAAAGCCCATTTAAAACTAACTAGACGAAATAATTCCATTTAAATGATATAGAATAGAACAACACACCGATAACATATTTGGTTGTCAATAAAAAGAATAAATCTATGGCCAATGATTTGAACATGAAGGTTGACTAATACAAGCAAGATATATGTAAACACGATAACTTAAACCTTAATTTAATAAGTAATATTATTAGCAGAGTACGATTACCTTAGGGGAAGAAAAAACAAAAAAAATGATAAGAATAAGATGTAACAACTGCATGTCTTATCAGAGAGATGTAAACTATCCGGATGAGATCACAGGACATATCAGGTAAAAGTATAAAATTTATATGTATTTTCATTTATCTGGCCTCAATTGTATTTGCTTCTACAATAACAACAATGAGACTTAAAAACACATAATAGTGAACTATGTTGTTTTCGATTAGATCATCATCAGGCTTTACTTTAATATACAGCAATATTTATATGCATATACGGAATTTCTAAACCAATCAAGGCAGTCTATAAGTCAATGATCACAGTGGAATAGATTACATAGTTAAATATAATAAGTGAAAAGTGTAAATTGGTAGTGTGATGATAGGTGTACTAGTTGCGACAAGAATAACAAAGGCTAGAATCAATGTTTTATGATGGGAATTAGGTTAACGGTCAGAAAAAAACATTCACAAAAATTATACGATTACGTAATAAGAAATGTTCAGATAATTGGACCGCGAAGCGTATATTTGAGAAAAGGGTGAGAAGGAGTGGAGAAAAATAAAGCGAAGAAAGTATGGAAAATAGTAGTAAATAAGGTCATTTATTAAGGCCAAAGGAGAGATAAAGGAGTTACAAATTTCTTTTGAACACAAAGACTTGGATTGTTGGCTGGAATTCCTATAGCTTCTGCTATATGTACGAGACGAGATTGAATCCCGTAAGGAAAACTAGTAAGAATACGATAAATTACTTTAAATGACCTATTTCTGTCTACCACATGACCACTATCGATCAATTGTGATAGAACTGAGCTGCACATTGTCTTGACAATACCACGGAGAGAGGTGTTCACTAACTCTTTGGCTCAGTTGTCTGGTAGTGCACCCAATATAACTTTCTCCATAAGAGCAGCTGAATTCGTAGATACACATAGGTGCGACATAACCAGGTGACTTATCCTTTAGTTGGGGAATCACCGTAGATCGGGTCGAGTACGATAGACAGATATTAGCTGCATTAAACGTTCTCTTAACCACTCTGGTCAGTCTATCTTGTAACACATTACCAGCTACATCTTCATTGAATTGCAGCTTCATGAAGAGGGGTTTCTTACTGGCCATTGATGTCACTATTTTCGTGTTTGTTACATGCAAGTGTTTCTTCAGGAAACCTTGTGGATAATCCATTTTGTTGGGGTCACCCAGAGCGCTTCGTGGACACATTCAAAAGAGCACTACTGAAAGGGGAAGGAGAGGGAACAAGTCAGGTAATTACGAAATTCTTAACAGCTTATAGAACTACGCCTAACCCTATTGTCCCAGATTGAAAATCCCATGCTGATGCGATGTTCGGGAGAAGCATCCGAACTACATTCGACGCCATGTTACCACCTAAACTAATGGATGGACGCAGAAAAATCAGAATATTCGAAGTTTTAACGTCGGTGATAAAGTGCTCGTCAAATCATACATTGGGAAAAATCGTTGGGAACCGGGAGTCATTGAGAAGAGAATGGGGAATGTTTTATACAAAGTGCGTGGGACTTTCGGAATATGGATTAGACACATTCATCAAATACACAGAGAGAAAAGGACTCTAGACAGAGTAGATAGTCAATTGAGGCTTCCGCTAGATATAATTACAGATACTCCAATGACAGGAACCCCAACAGACACTCATAGGCGCTGGACACCAAGAAAGTCCGAACGCCTCAGGAAACCAGTTATAACGCTGCAAGTAGACCCGAAGAAGAAGTCTTATTTTTTGAAAGGAGGCAGGTGTTGGGGTGACCCAGAAAATTTCTCGCAAGGGTCAAGCAAGGATCAGGAAAACACTAAGAATCGTTTCCTCCAATCAGCATTCAATTTGCAAGATTTATCACATTTCAATCGACATATTATGCATGAGCTCTAGTTCCTTGTTTATTGTATCGGCTGAGCGTATCTTCCTAGCTCTATTCGCAAGATATTTGACTAGGTTTCTCTTATAATGAAAGGGTACAAAGCTCAAGAAATGTGTGTACTGGTTTGCTGAAGAACTTTTCCCATACACACTTCTACTGATAGAACCATTTACGTGTGAAGGGGAACTTGATAATACACTACATTTTCTTGACGTTTTGTACCCTTTCATTATAAGAGAAACCTAGTCAAATATCTTGCGAATAGAGCTAGGAAGATACGCTCAGCCGATACAATAAACAAGGAACTAGAGCTCATGCATAATATGTCGATTGAAATGTGATAAATCTTGCAAATTGAATGCTGATTGGAGGAAACGATTCTTAGTGTTTTCCTGATCCTTGCTTGACCCTTGCGAGAAATTTTCTGGGTCACCCCAACACCTGCCTCCTTTCAAAAAATAAGACTTCTTCTTCGGGTCTACTTGCAGCGTTATAACTGGTTTCCTGAGGCGTTCGGACTTTCTTGGTGTCCAGCGCCTATGAGTGTCTGTTGGGGTTCCTGTCATTGGAGTATCTGTAATTATATCTAGCGGAAGCCTCAATTGACTATCTACTCTGTCTAGAGTCCTTTTCTCTCTGTGTATTTGATGAATGTGTCTAATCCATATTCCGAAAGTCCCACGCACTTTGTATAAAACATTCCCCATTCTCTTCTCAATGACTCCCGGTTCCCAACGATTTTTCCCAATGTATGATTTGACGAGCACTTTATCACCGACGTTAAAACTTCGAATATTCTGATTTTTCTGCGTCCATCCATTAGTTTAGGTGGTAACATGGCGTCGAATGTAGTTCGGATGCTTCTCCCGAACATCGCATCAGCATGGGATTTTCAATCTGGGACAATAGGGTTAGGCGTAGTTCTATAAGCTGTTAAGAATTTCGTAATTACCTGACTTGTTCCCTCTCCTTCCCCTTTCAGTAGTGCTCTTTTGAATGTGTCCACGAAGCGCTCTGGGTGACCCCAACAAAATGGATTATCCACAAGGTTTCCTGAAGAAACACTTGCATGTAACAAACACGAAAATAGTGACATCAATGGCCAGTAAGAAACCCCTCTTCATGAAGCTGCAATTCAATGAAGATGTAGCTGGTAATGTGTTACAAGATAGACTGACCAGAGTGGTTAAGAGAACGTTTAATGCAGCTAATATCTGTCTATCGTACTCGACCCGATCTACGGTGATTCCCCAACTAAAGGATAAGTCACCTGGTTATGTCGCACCTATGTGTATCTACGAATTCAGCTGCTCTTATGGAGAAAGTTATATTGGGTGCACTACCAGACAACTGAGCCAAAGAGTTAGTGAACACCTCTCTCCGTGGTATTGTCAAGACAATGTGCAGCTCAGTTCTATCACAATTGATCGATAGTGGTCATGTGGTAGACAGAAATAGGTCATTTAAAGTAATTTATCGTATTCTTACTAGTTTTCCTTACGGGATTCAATCTCGTCTCGTACATATAGCAGAAGCTATAGGAATTCCAGCCAACAATCCAAGTCTTTGTGTTCAAAAGAAATTTGTAACACCAGTGAGCTGTTATCAGTTTTGTTTAATCCATGCCATGAAGTACAGTTATCCACTTCAGATAATTGATGGGGGTTTGCGCAACATCATTTATTAATTAAAGCTAAACGTTAACATTGTTGGGTACAGGCTTAGAGTTCTAGATATTAAGTGTCACGTACGAGAGCAAAGACCGCGTAACCGAGTCCCGCGAATGGGATCGTCTGTGTGCATTGTTGAGGAGTCCCACACTAGGATGAAACAACCGTCCAGTGTTTGCAGGTTTTCAATGGTCGTCTAAATTAGATCCATTTATGAATTCAACTATTAAATGGTTTTTAATGATTTTGGTCACTCTTTGAAACCATTAGACATGAAGCTGCTGATCTTGTTCATTTTAGTGTGTGGCCTGTGATAATACCCGGGTGTCCAGACCGAAGCCGGTGGTTTTCTTAGGGGCCACACACAGAGCCTTTGACTTAATGGTCTAATCCATAGGACAGTTGAGTAACGTAAGGGAGATGAAGTCCCATTTTGGCCGGTGACCAATAATTGGTTCGTACGCCATTTGTTCCGCTAGGATTCTGGAGCCCATGTGCAGTATTGGTTTGGAACCAGAGTTAAGGCGCCGGACACTCGTTCTTCGTCGTTTCATTTTCGGAACAAACCAGCCACGAGAAAACAGTGAGTAGGACTTCCCTGGCAAGTGGGCTGTTTACGCGTGGCCTTGTGAAAGCAATTTGGTAGGGAGTGCTGACTCTTCCCGAGGTCGATCGTACTAGGGCATTTGGGTGCCTTAAAACACTTCGATACAAGTATCAAAGAACTATTCCTGGAAAAAAGTAAAACTAGTATTTAACTTACCTGATCACCACACCATATCTCAATAATATTCTCAGGTTGAGGAATATTTGATGAAGCTGTCGCTATTATTCTAGCTAAATCAATTTGTAATGTTTCAGGTGGAAGATTTAATGGTGCCATTACAGGCGTTTGAGGATTGGAAGTTGTATCACAATAAGATGATGATTTAGGCGGAACAGCTTGACCAGTATCATCATTTTGTCCTTTTAAAAGTGAGCAAAGAAAATAAGATCACAAAAGTGTACAAGTAACGATGTTAGTTGACAATATTAGTGTAACAAAATAGAAATACACCGGTCGACTATTCATGTACAACTACATAATACTACATATATATGAATAAATGTTGGCTAAAAGTATGATACTTTCCCATCATGAAATTAGTGAATAATCGATGTGTGCATAATCAATGAGTTTAATTAAGACCGAAGTGAACAATCCACAGATTTACCATGTTTGTAGTCTTTGGATAAACTCCTAACACCAATGACTGCTAAGAAGACGAAATAAGAGACAATTCCTATCGAAAGTCGTCAAACCGCTACCAAAAATCTGAGCGCTGAGGTGAAACAATTGTAATGAGTGATTCTAACATTTCAGTAAATAAATTAAGTCAAGAAAGACACTTGGGAACTAGTAATAAGTAAACATTGACTATGGTCAATTGAAGCACTTGCTCTGACATCCGCTTATTTCCATAAGTATCAAGTGAGAAACAAACAAACAAAAATAGATCAGATAACACCTGATAACGACTTATTGATGAATATAAAAATAACGTATCATTGATACTCTACCAGTAGACAAGGTTAAAATGCAACTGTCATTTCTTATAGAGTATGTGCACTGTACAATGTACAAGAACGCCTAAGCCGTATTGAATGCAGAAAAACCGTAATAACAGGACGTCTTCAAGCTAGATTGAAACGACGTAGTTGAAAAGGAGATAAATATTCACCTCGGATTCTTTTTTTCTCCTTGCCGATTCCATTTCTTTCACTTATGAGATCAACAATTCGATCACCAATCTATCTGCTTTGATTTAGGTAATCGAATAGTATCATTAGTGATAAAACTTAGAGTGTAGTTTAAAGTCAAGTACATGAATAAGTATATGATCAATTAATCACTAAAACCAAATATCTTCTCATAAAATTAAAGAAATTCACTGGGATAGTCAACTCACTTGTGGATCTAGGTGATGGTGGACTAGATAACGTACCATTCATGGTTAATGTATCCGCTAGTTTATATAAACGTTGAAATACATGTTCCATAACTTTACGTATTAATAAAACATCATTAGCAGCTAATGAGTCTCGTTTTAATGAATTCATTGGTACAACACGCCTGAGTTAGTCAAGAACAATCAAAGTACATTGGTTAATCAATAGTGTAATAATAAGTGGTGAGAAAATCATCTACATACAATTCATAGAATATGACTTACTGAATTAAAGAATTCAAATATATTAACAACTGTAAGACAAGTTCAAAACGACCTTCACCTACACTACAGTTTACTTACTCGGGTTATTGTGATCAGCTTACAAAGTGTATGTAGAAGCGGAATAACATATATAAACATAGTTTATATATTAGTTGCTCCATCTGAATACATTATGTTATTACCTAAAACCGATGAACGGATCACAACAAAAGGACTGTTATGTTTGAAAACCTTCACGAGTTCACTTAAACTGCGAACGAGAACAATACTCAGTGACCCAAGACCAGTGATCTAACTATTGACGCGTCCCAGCTCCGCTTTCTAGAAGAAGAAGTCCAGGCTTGGTATGGAATATATATTCTGCAACAGCCAGAAGCGAGCGAGCGAGCAAGCAAGCAAGTAAGCACAATTTAAAACATATATATATATATATAATCGATATTGTCATAGAAAATTTTTAAACACTAATCAATGAGTTCATAAATTGACCTATTTGCCCATTGGATCGATAGTTCATCTATTGACTGCTATTCAAACATTTAATCGATCAGTTCATCAATTGACCCCAATACAAATATTTAAACATTTAATCAATAAGTTGATCGATGCGATAAAATTTAAAAATATGAGTTTGGGGATCTATCGTCCCCAACAAGGACAAGCTAGACTATTCATTGCGCACCAGCCCTGCTAACTAGAGGGGGAAAATCAGATTTAGCAGAGGGAAATGTATATTTTCAGAAGCAGACTAGAAGCACAAACGAAGAAGCACACAACTCATGTGCGTATATACAGTACAAAAATATCCTTGGAAAACGTCAAAACATAGCGTACTCAAAGAGGAAACGAAACAATTACATTTGAGACTCTCCAGGTGGGAAGTACAAACTGAAGGTAAAAGTGGATGCTTTTGGCACGAAAATGAGAAATTCAAAAAATTGAAACAAGATTACAAACATCAGACGTTTACCAAGCGATTTCTGGGGATCTAGTATCCCCCAACATTAGTCAATATGAGTCACAATTTATAGCATAGTGCTTAACTATGTAAGGAACTTGTGAATACAAATAAAAAGCATTATGTAATTTTCGAAAATCTATAATATTTTACTGAATGAAGGAATTATTACAAATAGTTATATGAAACAGAAGTCCTTATGTTGATTGTATTTCCTTTCTTTCTTTTTATGTTGGATAATAAATTAACAATAATAGCATTTAACAACAAGTTTTGTAAACGATAAAACAATTTCAAGATCTATTTGATGGCAATCAGTAGATAAGTGAACCAAAAGTGTGCAGTGCTATTTAATTATTGATAAATAATTCGTTCAGAGTAACCATGGAATTAAATATATTTTAACTCTATAGGTTATTTAGGATTTAGGGTAATATATTTAGTGAAGAAGACTAGAGAAAATCAGGCTGGTTTTCGACCTGGACGTGGTTGTGTAGAACAGATATTCACACTACTTCAGGTCCTAGAACATAGACACACATTCAGACGCCCTATAATCGTAGTATTTCTCGATCTTAAGGCGGCATTTAACTCTGTTGATCGCGAGGTTCTGTGGCAGTGTTTGTCACTGAAAGGAGTACATTAGCCTTATAAAGGCTCTCTACATGAACACAACTGGTAGAGTGAGAGCTTATGGCAAACTGTCATCAGAATTGATTACTTCAAGTTGTGTTCGTCATGGCTGTCCACTCTCTCCATTCTTGATGACTTTATCGTAGACATTCTTTCAGATACAACACTTTCCTTATCTAAATTTCCAGGAGTTAAACTTTTACCGGGAGATCCACTTGTTGACTTAAAATATGCTGATGACATAGTTCTATTTGGTGAAAACGCTAACAAAATGCAGTCTTCTGACCACTCTAAGCAACATTCTAAGTATGTTCGAGATGTGATTTTCCCCCTCGAAATGCAAAATGTTGCTTCAGGATTGGGTTGCATCGACAACCGAACTAATGATAGGGATTGAAGTAGTCGAGCGTGTCGACCGCTTCACTTATCTTGGAAGTCTCATCAGCCCTTGTGGTCTGGTGTGTAACTGTTAGGTTCGTTAACCTTGAGGATACTACTGATTCGACTTATTCGGAACGGAACGAAGGCTCAGGATTCAGAGACTCAATAGACTATTCTGGTCCGTTGTCTTCGACTCAGCTAACTCGATAAAGAAGTCTTGGTAATGCGTAGAAGCGTATTCAAAAAGCAACAGCAGATACCAAGTCAGGTCAGGCAGATCAGATCAAGCATACAAGTCAAGCGTATTTATACAAATATATATCGATTTTGTCATAGGAAATTTTTTAAACAATAATCAATGAGTCATCAATTGTCTGCTATTTAAAAATTTAATCGATAAGTCCATCAACTGACTGCCATTCAAATATTTAAACATTTAATCGATATGATAAAATTACAAAATATGAGTTTGGGAATATATCGGCCCCAACAGTAACAAAATCTCAGCACTGATACAGAAGGCTAGACTAGCTTTTGCCAACTTACGTCATTTGTGGCGTAAGCGAGATATCTGTCTACCAACCAATGGACGGGTTTACTGTGCAGCAGTTTGTTCCCTCCTAACTTATGGAAGTGAAACATGACCGGCAACAGTGGATGATATTCGTAGGTTACTAGTACTCAATTATAGGTGTCTTCGAAGCATTGCTCGTATATACTATGACCACCGAGTAGGTTATGCAGTTGTTAGGAAACGGGTACTAGGTGAAGATGGCAAATCGATTGATGAAGTAGTGAAACTTCACCAGTTGAGATGGATGGGATACGTGTTACGTATGCCCAACCACCTACTGCCCCGACGTGCGATGTTTTATGGTATAGGAGTAGGTTGGAAGAAAGTTAAGGACGGCCAGACCAAAACATGGCACAAATCGATGAAGTGAATGACAAGTGAACTGTGTCATGTTGGTAGGTGCAGACTACCTGTTGTGAACGGGGAATTAAGAGGCCCAGACAATTACGAAAGCTATTTTCTTGGGACGTTATTGCATTTCATTCAAACCCTGTAAAACACTTATATTTATTTTTGTCCCTATCTTATTCTACGTAACACGAGCTTTCGTTCTAGCATACCTTTTTTTGCTCCGAAAATATTGTAATTTAAACATAATATTTTGCACTTTATTTTCTACCCTAATTCCCTGTTTCGGGCGTAAGTGTATTTTTCGAAATTATCGTACGTCGTGGTCAGGATATCCACTTATTTATTCATGTACATTTTTGTACTAATTCCGAATTCAGAGAATCCAGAGTTCAGTGTTCCAACTGTCTTGTCTTCTCTCACTTGCGTGCTTGCCAACCAAGCAGGTTTTAGAACAGTTCTCTCTACCCCATCTCGAACTCACGCGTATTAGACTCAAGGTTAAGCCGCTCAGCCTAACGCGTCAAGGTCATAATTTAGACTAGATAGATCAAGGTCAGATCATAACAAGTATGAACGATTCAAGGTCATAACACTACCTGGTTGGAATCTGTGGAAAGATAGCAACCGGTGGTTAATGACCTTGAATGACATGGCTCAAAATCGTTTCCACTGGTGCACGTGTATCTATTCTTTGTGTTCTCCAAAATTCTAATCTTCTGAATTCTTCATCTCCTTTCCTTTTTTCTCTTCGCAAATTTATTTCACTGGATTATACCCCTTGAATGATATCTTCAAACCCTAATCTTTCCGATTACTGCTTATGCTTTTTCTACCTCTACCTCCACGGGATTTGGATCGATAACTGCATCTCTGTGCTAATGTGGTATGGCAACTTGAACTGATGTACGTACGTACGTACATACGTACGAAGTTCTACTTTGTTACTGACTGACTGAATATATCCATAGATCCTGAAATTCAAAATCATTTCCTACCTTTTACTCAACGAATTCATTTATTCATCTCTTGCTTACTTATTTACGCCTGTTACTCCTCGTGAAGGAGCATAAGTCGCTCACCAGCATTCGTCATCCAATCCTGTCCCAAATAATCCTTTCCAGCTCCTTCCAGTTCCTATTCATCCTTTCCATACCTGTTTCTATTTTCCAACGTAATGTGTTCTTTGTCCTTCCTCTTTTCTGCTTCCCTGCAGGATTCCAAGTTAGGGCTTGCCTCGTGATGCCGTTCGACGATTTGCGTAATGTATGTCCTATCCATTTCGATCGCATTTTCCTAATTTCTTTTTCAGCTGGAAGCTGATTTGTTCTCTCCCACAGAAGGCTGTTTCTGATGGTACCTGGCCAATGGATGTTGAGTATCTTGCGTAGACAACTATTTACAAATACTAGTACCTTCTTGATGGTGGTTGTTGTAGTTCTCCAAGTATCAGCTCCGTATGGCAGAACTGTCTTGACGTTCATATTGAAGATTCTCACTGTGATATTGGTTGAAAGTTGTTTTGAGTCCCATATGTTCTTCAATTAAAGGAATGTGACCCTTGCTTTGCCGATCCTCGTCTTTACGTCTGCATCTGAACCTCCTTGTTCATCGATGATGCTTCCCAGGTATGTGAAGGATTCTAAATCTTCTAGAGCTTCGCCGTCAAGAGTGATTGGATTGGTGTTCTCCGTGTCGTATTTGAGGACCTTGGTCTAGCCCTTGTGTATGTTGAGGCCTACTGATGCAGAGACTACTGCTACACTGGCTGTCCTTATCTGTACTTGTTCATGTGTATTGGATACGAATGCTAGGTCATCTGCGAAGTCCAAATCGTTTAATTGATTCTGAGCTGTCCCATGTATTCCGTGGTTCCCCTCAGATGTCAAGGTCTTCATAATCCAATCGACCACCAGAAGAAAGAGGAAGGGAGAGAGTAGACAGCCTTGTCTGACTCCGGCCCTTACTTGGAATGCATCTGTCAGCTGTGCTCCATGCACGACTTTGCACTGTAATCCGTCGTATGAGATCCGGATGATATTGACAATCTTCTCAGGAACTCCGATTTATTCATCTCAACACAAATTATTTAAACCTAATCTTTTTTATTACGTTTACTTTTTCTACAACTCTATTACTTTTTGTGATAATTTATTACACTGTATTGATAATGGTATAATAACGTGAACCGAAGCAAACAATGTTTGTATGACTAGCTGACCTCACCACGTAGTGAATTTGTAAACATAATCCAACCTCATAACAATGAACGAATAAAAAAAAGTGAGGACGAGGTAAATTCTTTTTCTATATTTCTACTGACGTTTGAGGAAATCAAATTCTTAACACCTTAGAACACCTTGATCTAAATGGTACCGTGGTGTGTGTTACTTATATTGACATAAGTAGTATATGACACGAGTCAGGAATGTAATGTCTGGCGGCAGAAGATGGGGAAGATCAAGTAAGGAAGAGAAGGAATAGAAAGCAATTAGTACGGAAATGCAAGAACAATGGAGTCCGAGACAATTATTGAATATTTTGCAAATTACGTATTATAGTATGGTTTTTCTATTTTACCAAGTAACTCTGTAATGTTGTGCTAAATATTATTCGGCTGTCCTCACCTGTGTTCTCCTTCACTAGGTTTGGTGTCGCTGCCTCCACTAAGGATGAAGATTCCATGGCCGAAGGAATTTGAGGACGGAGATATGGTGAGCTTCCTGAAGGAGTTTGAGGCCGTGGCGGAGCTGGTGGGAGTAAAAGAGCCGAAGACGAAGGTGGTGGTTCTGGGGACGCTGCTGAGAGGCAGGGCGAAGGCTGTATATGACAGCTTGGACAGTGCCGGCGGAAAAACGACACGGGAGACAGTCACGGAGTGGACAGGGAGGAAGCACTGCAGAAGTTCCGGTTGGCGAGGTTGTCGGTCGATGGTGACCCACTGGTGCTGGTTGTGGAGCTAACCAGGTTCTTACGCCGTGCGCTGCCGAATCTGGATGAGGAGTCAGAGGCACAGTTGTTGGCGTCGCAGTTTATCGAGTGTGCCTGTCACCGTTTCCCAGCAGCTGAAACTTGTAAACACAGCGCAACCTATGGATATCAGTGAAATGGCGAAGGTGACTCGTCAGCTAATGACACGAAACGGTAGCTCCGGTCGGGTTTGGAAAGCAGGATATACATAGTGTCGAGAAGAAGATTGAGGAGCTGGAGCGTGAGATTGCGGCAATACGAGTGAATCATGAAAAGAATGATAAATGTTACGCTTGTGGAGGGACAGGACATTGGAAGATAAACTGTCCAACAAGACGGAGACGCAGATATTTTAGACGTTATAACATGTGTTCTTTCTACCCTAGGTATCTGGGAGTTGTTGCGTTAGTAGATAGAGGCAGTTTATACGAGAGCGAACATAAGTGAACGAGATTTTGTGTGTCTGATCGATAAAGGGGCAGCAGTATCGTTAATAGGCAAATAGCAATGTAAGAGACTCAAGCCATGTACATTAGCTGTCCGCACTATAGGAGGCCATATGTTAGAAGTGTTGGGGGTATCTAACAGTATCGTAAAAGTGGGTGATGCTGAGATAAATTTTCCGTTCGTGGTAACCACAAGTTTATCGAGACCAAGACTGGCGCATCGTTCCTCCATACAAGGAACAAGCAAGAAATCACCTTCCTTGCTCATGTATGGCAGCCACGAGGAGAACGTGGAAACCTTTCGCAGTGGGGGACCTAGTAAAATGTTGTTGTTCCGCCTTCTTTATGTCTGATATTTGTTACTTTTCCACGTCCCTTATTGCCTCCCTCCTCTCTCTTCTTAACCTTGTTGTCGTCCATTTCTGTTGTGGCCAGGTCTTATTATGCATTGGTAGTCTTGTATGGAGGAACGATGCGCCAGTCTTGGTCTCGATAAACTTGTGGTTACCACGAACGGAAAATTTATCTCAGCATCACCCACTTTTACGATACTGTTAGATACCCCCAACACTTCTAACATATGGCCTCCTATAGTGCGGACAGCTAATGTACATGGCTTGCGTTTCCATACTAATTGCTTTCTATTCCTTCTCTTCCTTACTTGATCTTCCCCATCTTCTGCCGCCAGACATTACATTCCTGACTCGTGTCATATACTACATATGTCAATATAAGTAACACGCACCACACTACCAGTTAACACTTCAATAACATCAACAACTCAAAAAAATATTACTCCATCTAGTAATAACCAGATCTACAAAACAATAAGACAACATTTTAAAATGAGAATAAAGAAACTACTTACTGTTGACCTTGACTGTCTACTTCAATAACACCAGGAACAAGGCAAAACGCTATACGTACTGGTTTAGGTAGTTTACACTATAGAGAAGAAAAAACGACCAAAGTAAAGAGATAAAAAAGGAAAGATAACTATTATAATATATCATAGCCTGTCAATTAATGTCTACGTGCTAAACATTAAATATCAAAGGTTTTTATTTCGATTCGTACTCCTTCTCTTGTAGACGATGAGTTACGAATTCTATAATGATGGGGAATATACCAATATAAAGAAACGTCATTTGATGGTTAGTTGACGTATACAAACCTTTAGGGAGTTTTTTTAAACATTTACAAAAGATTTTTAAATACGTTTCTGATGTTAACAATAATTTACTTTATAAGATAAGAAAATTAAGAGATATATATTCTATAGACAGTTGAAGAACTAAAGTGTTTGGATGAATGTGGCAAAGAAGGATTTACATCTCTTAGCGTAGTGAGATAAAGAAATTTAGCTAAATCGCAATTTCTCAGTTTGATATTTTTATAGCAATTAGTCCCTTTTATAAATTTCGATAGAACAGTGAGAAGACGGAGTTGATCTGAAAAATGTGCCCCCTGAATGCCCTGGTACGGCCGAGAGTGGGGAGAGTCCGCTCTCCCTCTCGAAATACTCTCACACGGCCACGCGTATATAGCCTCTGCCAGGGAAGTCCTACTCATTGCCTTCTCGTGGCGGGGGTGTTGTTTACGAAAATGAGAGGACGAGAAGCGAATGTCCGGCGCTTTAACCGGATTCCAAACCAATGGTGCACATGGGCTCCAGTATCCTGCGGGAACGAATGGCGTATGAACCAATCTTTGGTCACCGGCTACCATGGGACTGCATCTCCTTACGATGCTCCACTGCCTTGTGGGTTAGACCTTTAGGTCAAAGGCTCGGGGAGTGGCCCCCTAAGATAACCACCTGCTTCGGTTTGGGCACCCGGGCAGTATCACAGCCCACACACAAATGATGAACTGTTTATGTCTATGGAAACTACTTTTGTCGCTTTGAAAAACAATCAATTGATTCAAATTATGATCACTTCAATTATTGTCATTATTAATAATAATATTATTATCACTACTGTTATTGTCATTATTGTTATTTTTATCATTATTATTATTATTTTCCACATTATTCACCTTCTTTTATACTTATACAGCGGCTCGTCTTTGGTGGAATTCCGACTGTATCTAAACGTTCTCGAGTCACTGTCCGGTTGAAAATTGTATGTTACCACCGAATACGAGGACTGAAGCAGATTTTCTGAAACCACGTGCATCATTCAAACTGGCTGCCTTCAACGTTCGCACATTTATGCAGGTCGGACAACAGATAGGGCTGGCTATGTCTTTAGAAAGTCTTAATATCGATGTTTGTTGTCTATCCGAGACCCGTATTCAAGACTCTGGCGAAGTACTACAAATTCGATCTCCATCTGTCGCTTCGAAAAGCTTGTTTTACGTGCGCTTATCCGGGGACCCTGTGGCATCTTCGTCTGGTTTTGCTGGCGTTGGTGTCGCACTAAGCGCTAGAGCTGAGGCAGCACTAGTCGATTGGATCCCCATTAACAGTCGGTTATGTGCTGTTAGATTAGAAAGTTCCATCAAAGCGAGAAGAAATCGGCGTGAGAAACGATGTCTTTTCGTCATCTCCGCCTATGCCCCGACAGATTGCAGCCCGGATGCAATCAAGGATGAGTTTTACCACCAGTTATCAGTTCTTCTCCAGAAAGTGCGTTCGACAGATATTGTAGTACTAGCCGGAGACTTGAATGCTCAGGTCGGGCGTCTAGGCACAGAAGAGAGTCGTTTAGGTGGCCGATGGGGACTCGTTGGTCGCAGGTCAGATAACGGGGACCGTCTACTGCAACTTTGCGCAGACCACAACCTGTTTCTGGCTAGCACTAACTTTCGGCACAGTCATCGCCGATGTGCCACCTGGCGTCCTCCCTCTGCATCTCAAGCCTGGACTCAGATTGATCACATCGCGATCAGCTACCGCTGGCGTGGTTGTGTACAAGACTGCCGCTCCTTTTGGAGTGCCTATCTGGACTCTGACCATGCCTTGGTCTGCGCCAATCTTGCCTTACTTTTCAGTGGACAACGAAGTGAACGCCATCAACGGATTGATGTTAGCAAGCTGGTTGCAACTTCTGTTGCAAGTAAGTATCGAACCGAGCTAGCCTCTAGGCTAGCTACCACTCCACCGGAAAGTATAGATGAGCATTGGTTGCAATTGCATGACGCCATGAAAATGGCGGGAACAGTCAGTTGTGGGTTTGCGAAACGTCCCGCTTTTAAGCACTGGGTTTCTGCAGGTTCCTTACAACTCATTGAAGCCCGTCGGTCTACTCCGGGTAACCGTGAGTTTGACCATAAACGAAGGTTTTTACGTAATGAAATCGGGCAAAGCTTGCGTAAGGACCGAGAAGCCTGGTGGTCGATGCGTGCTAATGAGCTGGAAGCAGCAGCTGCATCTGGTAACTACCGGAAGCTCTTCCAACTCATCCGAGCCACTGGCAGCAAGAAGTCTGGTGTGAGTGAAACAATCTGCGAGGATGATGGGATGCCAATCACTAACATCCATCGACGTCTTGGACGATGGGCAGAATTTTTCGAAGGGCAGTTCAACTGGCCTGCTGCTCCGGCAACATCGGTCAGACTGTCCTGCCCTCCATGGCCGGTGACGACTGATCCACCAAATGAGGAGGAAGTCCGCAAGGAACTCCAACTCTTGAAGCGTTACAAATCACCTGGCCCAGATGACTTACCTCCGGCTCTTTTTAAAGATGGTGGTGACTTTTTGACTAAGGAATTGACGACGTTGTTTACAAAGGTTTGGGATCTAGAGAGTGTACCAACGTCATGGAATGAGTCGATAGTTGTCCCTATCTTTAAAAAGGGTTCACGTCGTTCTTGTAACAACTATCGGGGGATAAGTTTACTTCCGATTGCGTCCAAGCTATTGGCTTCCGTCATTCTTCGTAGGTTGTTCAAAACCCGAGAAAGATTGACTCGCGAGGAGCAGGCTGGGTTTCGTTCTGGTCGAGGATGTATTGATCATATCTTCACCCTCCGCCAAATGTTAGAACACCGCCATACTTTTCAAAGGCCAACAATCGTAGTGTTTCTTGACATCAGGGCTGCCTTCGATTCGTTGGATAGGACTGTTCTCTGGGATTGTCTATTGAAGAAGGGTGTGCCTGAGAAGTTTATTAACATCCTAAAAGCCCTGTATAAAAACACCTCAGGCAGAGTGAGGGCATACAACCACCTCTCTCCATTGTTCCATTCGAGCAGTGGGGTTAGGCAGGGTTGCCCAATCTCACCATTCCTCTTCAACTTTGCCATCGATGACATTCTGGAAACAGCTCTGATGAATGTAAGTAATGGTGGTGTGGATCTGTTGCCTGGAGAAAGACTTCTCGACCTTGAGTATGCGGACGATATTGTCTTACTGTGCGATAATGCCCAAGGCATGCAATCCGCACTTAATCAGTTGGCAATCAATGTCCGTAGGTATGGTATGTGCTTTGCACCTTCGAAGTGCAAAGTACTTCTACAAGACTGGCAGGATTCTAATCCTGTACTCACCCTGGACGGTGAGCAGATAGACGTAGTTGAGAAGTTCGTGTATCTGGGTAGCTGCATAAGTGCTGGTGGGGGTGTGAGTGATGAGATCAATGCACGAATAGTGAAAGCCAGAGCGGCTTATGCCAATCTGGGCCATCTATGGCGCCTTCGTGATGTTAGTCTGGCTGTAAAAGGCCGGATCTACAACGCGTCGGTGAGAGCAGTTTTGCTCTATGCTTGTGAAACCTGGCCTCTCCGAGTTGAGGACGTTAGACGACTCTCTGTGTTCGATCATCGCTGTCTCCGAAGGATTGCTGACATTCAGTGGCAACACCATGTCAGTAATGCAGAGGTTCGGCATCGTGTGTTCGGGCACAGAGATGATAACTCAATTGGTGTCACCATCTTGAAACACCGACTTCGGTGGCTTGGACATGTTCTCCGAATGTCGTCCCACAGAATTCCACGTCGTGCATTATTTGCCGACTCTGGGACTGGTTGGAAGAAGCGGAGAGGTGGTCAGTGCATGACATGGTGTCGTGGCATGAAAGAAAGCTGCAAAGGACTGGCTTGTGTTGGTCCTTCACGACTCCCTGGTTGGGGTCCGAGAGATGGTGCAACACAGTGGCTAGAGACGTTATCAGATATGGCTCAGAATAGAAGCCAGTGGCGATCCTGCTGTAACCTTCTTTTACTTTCTTCATAAAAAGTGGTTGTGTCTCATTTACGTGAAAGATTTCTTCTGATTGTACCTCTTCGTCATTACTCTCTTTTTCTTTTGCGTTCCTTAGTTTTTTTTTTTTTTTCTTTCTACTTCTCTTCGAATTCCCATTGTTTTGTGTGGCGCATATATATTGGCGCTCTCTTGTACCAATATTTATGTGTTCAAATAAATAAATAAATAATAAATAAATCTGAAAAATGTGATGTATTAGCGCTATACATTTCGAACAATCTGGTCACACATATACTTGTCAGGGCAATTTTTATATGAAAATTAATAAAGGTTCAATTAAAATAACTAAGGGGAGAGAAAGAATAAGAAATTGTCGCGTTATCCTAGGCCATAGAATGACTTAAGGATTACCAGGGTAAATTCAAGGTTACGACAAATTGTTTTTGTACACATAAGGGGGGTTTAAATTTACGAATAGCCAAGGCTTCAATAAGCTTAAGAATTCGACCTTGACAATTTCTATACAACGTTTCAAAAGCTGTATTAATGTCAATTTTGTGCCCTGTCTCAATTATATGTTTCGCTATCGATGAACTTGGTTTTCTACCTTCTACATTGATCGGATCATTTGACATATATTGATTTTGAAGCCATCTAGGCACATGTTGATTGCATTGTTCGATTACTCCTCCCTATGATATTTTTATCTTAGATCAGGTGATAATCTACTGAAGAACATTTACTATCCACTTTATGTAAAACACGCTTGCATGTGTGGAAATACCCTTTGAGTTAACTGAGGTTCAACAATGTGAATCTGGATGCAGTGACGCCAATTCATTAGGTGCTATCAACTTGAAACAGAGACTTTTGTCGACTTGGATGTGTTTCATGAATGTCATTGCAGAGACTACCACATTGTGGGACTGGACCAAATTAATGTAGATAAATAATTAATCACATGGAGTCGTGGTATGAAGCTGTATACAACTGGTAACAGTCGATTTACCATAACTACCCGGTTGGCTTTCTAAAGATCAAACAACTCAGTGGTTTGTGATGTTATTAAACATGTCTCAGAATAAAAGTTACAAGTGGTCTTGCTCAAATTTTCTTGTACGCTTTTCATAAGAGTGAGGGAAACCTCTCTAACTAAATGGTGACAATTTTGGTTGTACTTTAATCTGAAATGCATCTCCTACTGTATACGATTCTTGTACATTTATTAATATTTTTTTATCTTCTGATACTCGATTTATTCATAATATTACCTTATTTGGCCGAGAGAATATAATTTATGGAAGAACTAATCACATATAAGATAACAGGTCTCGGATTTTGGCCTCGAAGTTCACTCATCCATTCGGATAAATAGAGTTTTGGCATTATAGCTTATGGCAGTTCGTGATGAAAACCGGAAATCTAATTCTTAACCTTAATCATCAACTGTAAATTACAATTCTAACTCCTAAAACTGGTTTATTATAACCCTCATTTGTCCTGGTTATTAAGTGGACACTCTCAAGGTCAGTCTAGAGTCGCTCAAAGATCATCCATAAATTATAGTTTCACTCTAATTTGTGTGTCACATACTATTCTCGGTACTCAGTCGTACCGGAATATATGCATATTCAATAAATAAATACTCATTTAAAGATCAAAATGTTGTAGCAAAAATTATACAACTTTAAAAAAATACAAACAACACTCACAGATTCTACAACTTCCATAATCCATTTCGGTTCTGGATTACAACGTCTTAATCGTACACTAAATGATGAAGCATCACGAGCTAAAAATCGATCAAGTGGTCGACCACTTCCATCACTATAAGAAATAATCATTGAATCATTAATTATTAAATTAATATGAAAAATACCTTAAAATAATTGGTGTATGTCCAGGAATTTCTAAAATTTGATCTGCATTCAAATCGTTTCGCACTATGTTTAAGGAAAGAGAGAGAGACACAGAGAGAAGGAGGATACATAGCAATCAGAGGTAAATTATTTATGTAATAAAAGAAGAAAAATGAATTTGTCATACAGATAAACTAGGATAACTTATTATAATTGATTAAGTTTTAACTTATTTTAGTATTTATAATATCAGGTTGAGGAATTTAAGACAACTAAATATCATGTAGAAGAACGTCTCTGGATAAATTTCCATTGGACATACTGAAATCAAGTCCAGTTGTATCATCTGAAATAGTTTAATTCGTTTGTTAATAAAATCTAACATAAGTCAATGATGATATAAGCAAATAAGTAGCTCAAAGCATTTAGTCCCTTTGATAAATTTCGATAGGGTAATAAGAAGACGAAGATTATCAGAACTATGTGATGATATATATTCGCGCAATACATTTCGAACAATCTGATCACACATATGCTTGTTAAGATCATTTACATATAAAAATAAAAAGTCAACTAAACTGGAAATTGATTGACCTTAACTTGGTTTTTGTGGTGCTGTATAAAAGTGTAAAAGGGCGTATACTGATGTTTATTGAAGCCTTAGCCATACTCCCCATTGTGTATTCAAAAACAGTTTGTTCTCACCCTAAACCTACCCTGGTAATATTGACTTATAAGCCAGAGTGATTAGGTTTCAAATTATGTTCACTCTTACGATTATTATTATCCTTGTCTCCTCTTACCCCATTTCCAGTCTAGTTGACCGTTTATTTTTATATATAAATGGTCTTACCAAGTATGTAATCTGTGATCAGATTGTTCGAAATATATCGCGATAATATATGACATAGTTCTGATAATCTTCGTCCTCTTATTACATTATCGAAATAAGTAGCTGTTATAACTCAATATTGACTAAATTAAGGTAAATATAGGCAGACAATTAAAAAGACAACCAGATATGTGATACACAAGGCTGTCTGTCTAGACTCACATATTACTTTGACTGGATATGTCAGTAGCAGTTTACATTAATTTGAAATAACTATCGTCAATGGAGGAAAAACAAACAATTTTTGACTTGAACGTAATAATCTAAGAGTGGAAGCAGATATAGAAGGCTGAGACAAGTAAACTCAAAACGGTAAATAGAGGACACGTTATGAATTAAACTTGAACACTTTGTGATGAAAAGACTTTTCCAGATTGATATATTAATGAATGAAATGTGCGAACTGATTGATACTATGTAATAATAAAATATAGTAGAGTAATGACTACGCACTAGACCGAATCATTAATGTAAGAACCACCAATCAAACTGATATCAGATCAGACAACCGTTCAGTAGAATAGGTTTTTCCTGCTAACAAAATAACACACTTATACACAAATTCTTAAACGTATGAACAAACATGATTAAAAGTCACTTGATAAACAAATGATTGAATGGTATAGCGACAGGATGCTGTTTACTCTTTAATGGGATTGACGCCTAATTAACTATCAGGCCAAATGTTTACGTCGTCAAACCAAAACATGACTACAACAGTATTTCTCAAAAACAAGTGAATTCTAACAAAGCTATTGAGAGCTGGATCCGGCTATACAGATAAAATTTAACAGTGAAGCTCCAAGGTTCTTCTAGGTAAAATAATTAGCCTGATAAAAGTGAGCTACAACAATATAGTCCCAAGCGAGTTGTTCTGTGGACTTCAAATATGAATGATATTTGTTGACACATATCTTGTAACTGTCTGTCCATTTATTTTGTTTGTAGGCACTTGTTGACCTTATTTATGACTGGGAAACCGTTGAAATATTGGGCACAGGTATTTCAATGAAGATAAAAGAATTCTTAGAAGTCGATTACTGATGTCAGTTAGTAACAAATCAATAATCATATTTAATCATTTTATCAATCAATCAGAAAAATCCTAAACAAATTTAAGGTAAAGAATCTGGTCAAATGGGAAAACAATAAGTGTGGGTACAATGATAAGATATGAGTCTGCGATAACAACCAACAGAATTCAAAGTCAACAGAACAAGCTGTTATAGAGAAATTCTTATGGATCACTTTTATTGGAAATTTATACATCAAAAGAACGAATACCACATGATATCGACTTGAAGACATACAAAGACAGAGTTAGTTGGAAAATCTTGGTCAGTGGACTATGCTCCACGAAGGGTAACAGGTGTAACTATGTAAGTCTTTATTACATATAAGTACTGGATTAGATGAATAAAATATTGTAATTCATGCTTACTTAGATTAGTGTTTTTTACTCAAGAAGTATAATTGGATGCAGTTACAATCACATATATGAATAAACACATATTATTAACATACCATTATCTATATTGTTTCCATTATTACTAGTATTGGTATTACTTGAGGATGTAGTTAACCGACGAGTAAATAATGATCTGAGTAATACAAAGCCGTAATTAACTGAAATCAATCAAACATTATAATAGAAAAGATAAATGACAATGAATGAATGAATGAGTTATTTGAAATAAAATATGAGTAATTTCTATTATAATATTGCAAAACATATATTACTTTGATACTGATAAACTGTACTGAATAGTATACAATAGTGTTGGTTGGAATATTTCAAAGACAATATAAATAAATTAGTGATCTATTATGATCAACAACCAGTTAAACTTAAGCTTAAATCATGGATTTTATTAAAACTGAATAATAGTTTTTAGTGGAATATAGTTATCAGTGCAGTAAATCAATCAAGCTGACTAGTCGTAAATACAACCCAATGCACGTGTTCTGGATTCTACTGTTATCTGCTAAACAACCATTATGATAATTTGTCACTAAATGGAAATGTTAAAATAATGAACTCAGAATGAAAATACGTTCTTAACATCAACAACGGGAAAATAATAAAAAAACAACATTCAAAACAAAAGAGTATGAATTAACTGTGTGTGTGTGTGCGAATTATCTCACTTTTAGTATCATAACAGTAATTGGGATCATTGAATTCATTTAATAGACCAGCATCAGAAGCATTTATGTAGGCTGACAAACAATCACCTTCATCCAAATGAATAATTGGCATCTATAAAGAAAAAAAGAGGAAAATTTTTTTGAATAAGAAACTAGAAGATAGGCTTTTGAATTGAAAGAATAAACAAGATTAAATGCTTTAAAAGGAGAAAAGGTGTGGTAACCATTTTTTTTATATGTTGCGAAAGAATGGGGATTAATCATAGTTATATTTGATGAACAATCAACACAATGTAAGCCTATAAAATTTAGAGTGAATTAAAGTGAACTAGAACAAACAGATGTGAATTAGATAAAAGACAGATACGAATAGAAGCATCTCATTCAAATAACACGTAAGTTAAGGAACGTCCACTTTTTTAAACATATCACACATACAGTAAGATTTTGAGTGTAAATTTAACATTCACGCTACCTGTTCATGCCATCTGAAAATTTCAACAAGTTATCTGTTCTTTTGTTTGTTTTAACACATCATTATGTCTATTAGTCTCATAACCTATGCACACGCGTTTGTGAAATGTCTACTATATTTCGTTGTACAAGTTACCAAAGTGTCTAATCAGAGACATCGTGGTTGCTGGCAATATGCATCGAAAAGAATATACGTTATTCAGATATCAATCCCTGAACTGCTAACATCTAACTGGCAATCACTCAATATTTATCGCAAGGATCGTTCAAGAAATAAGAAAAGGAAATTACTTTACTTACTAATATTCAGTAGCTAATATAATTATTAGTAATTTTCAAACTACTGTGGGTAATATTCAGTCCAGTAATTGGATATTTTTAGAAACATTTTTAATGTTCACTTTAAATTCTTGTATAAGCATTGAGTATTTGTTGATTCATTACAGCTTATATATTTTGTGCTTTCAATTTTCGTTTCAATTGTCGGATACCATTGTTTTGCCGGCTATTACATAGTTTATTGTAAGTTGATATGAATAATTTCATTATAACTACACCAAGAAGAGTCAGTCAGTCAGCTACAACGTAAGACTAGGCACATATATGCATCGGTCCAAGTTGCCATACCTCATTAACACAAAAAGATGGACACCGGATTCATAAAAGTAGTTAATTCAGAGGTGGTAATATATAAAAGAAAGATTGCAATAAGGATATAGTACAGGAAGAAAGAATTAGTTGGTAGAAAGAAAGGTATGAAACGATTTTAATCTCATAGTTTAAGGGAAGACAAAGAGTGTATACACTGACACCATGCTGATCGATTCTGAGCCATGTCACCAAGAGTTTCCAACCATTGGCTACGATAATTACGCGGACCCCAACCAAGTAGTCTGCATCTACCAACATGGCTCAGACTAGAAGTTAGTGACACCAAGAAGAGATTTTTCTTTAACCGATAATTTATTATGATGAACACCTTAGATATATCACAAATTGAGTTTAGCAGATGCATTGTTTATATTAACATAAATAGTAGTAAGTGATCATAGACAAATATAGTGTTATCTTTTAATCACAGGATTTTTATACATTACCATTAATTATTTTATTCAAAAGCATCAAAACACATACTGATATTCAAATAGATTCACTTGAGATTATATATATATGTATAGAGTTGTATAAATAGCTGAAACAAATGTGAATAATAACAACAATGATCCATATTAACAACTTACTCCACATTTTAAATCTACTATAAACCAATTTGGAACATAAATAAGTTTTTCACGTTTCTTAATTTCTTCTTCAAATGATACAACACCTAAACATTCAATCATTGATGCCTATACATATAATAAAATATTATATTAAGAAACAAAAAATCAATCAATAATAGTACTTAGATATTATGTATAATATAAGCATACAGAAATAATGGTTAGGTATATTTAGTTGATTTCTTCTTCCCTTTCTGTTGTGTTTAAGACATTGAAAATAAATTAAGTGAGTTAATGTACATCATGGACAGATAAGGGAGCATTCGATGACTGTTTATTCCCTAGTAATTCCTGGAGTTCTCGTAAAAACCATGAGGAGTGGAGTTCAATCACGTCAGTATATGACGATTATCCTTAAATGGTTTTAGAAAATGACTGAGTACTATCATGAACCGACAGAAGTTAGAAATGTAAACAATTGGATAGTCACTGATCTTAAAATTAAGTGCTCACCATGAGATACGTTGTCCTGGGTCCTACTATCCTAATACAGTTCAGTGTTACCTAAATTTTAATAGTTGTCTAACTAAAACTCTGCCTGGAGCCCCCTGGGTCTACTACCGATCCCAGGCTCGGATAAAGGAGGACGGTTGGGCATGAGGTTAGCGACCACAGCCCGTAGTAGACTAAATCGCTAAAACAAACGCTAACCAGAAAAAAATATTCAAACTATTTAAACTTTGCCTTGGGAGTTAGAAGGTCTTCATTTAGAAGAGTTATAACGCCTTATGGTGAAAGCCGAGTTCCTTTGGAAGTCACAAGGCTGATGCCCCATCTGACAATCAAAGCAACCATTAAGTTAGGTACATGAAACTAAAATATAATAGTGATATATTAGTATCTTACATTTATTTTAACGACATTTACTCCTCTAATAATAGAACTGAGAAATAATACAGAAATATAGAATAGTTATTAAATATTTTCTCATATCATCTATATGTAATCAGACGACTTAGAAATGCTCCCAAATGCCCTCGTACGGTCGAGAGTGGAGAGAGTCAGCTCTCGATCTCGAAATCATCTCACATGACCACGTGTATACAACCACTACCAGGGAAGTCTTACTCACTGCCTTCTCACGGCATTACTGTTCTTTATGAAATTATCAGGACGAAAAGCGAATGTTCGGAGCTTTAACCGGGTTGGTGGATATGGAGAGTCCATCTAGGGGAGTTCGAAAACCCTCATTCAAAATCAATCGTGCATATGGGCTCCAGTATCCTGAGGGAACGAATGGAGTATGAACCAATTATTGGTCACCAGCTACCATCGAACTTCATCTCCTTACGATGCTCCACTGCCTTGTGGAGCAGATCTTTAGATCAAAGGCTCCGTGTTTGGTCTCCTAAGAAAACCATCTGTTTCAGTCTGAACACTCGGATAGTATCTCAGCCCACACACATATCAAATGAGATCTGTGTGGCGCATATGAATCTGGTGACTCCATGTACCAATATCTGTGTTCAAATAAATAAATAAACTTAGAAATATACTACTTATATAACATTTATGCGCCACAAAAATCTCACTTGATATGTGAGAGGGCTGTGATACTGCACGGGTGCCCAGACCGACGCAAGTGGTTTTCTTAGGGAGCCACACCCGGAGCCTTCGACCTGAAGGTTTAATCCACAAAGCAGTGGAGCGACATAAGGAGATGCAGTCCCATGGTAGCTGGTGACCAATAACTGGTTCATACGCCATTTGTTCTTTCAGGATACTGGAGCTCATGTACACCACTGGTTTGGAATGAGGGTTTTCCAACTCCCCTAGGTGGACTCTCCGTATCCACCAACTCGGTTAAAGTAATTAAATTCATACATTATAAATATTCATTCATTCATTTACTAAATATACACATAATTAGGAAAATGAATAATTAATAAATGAAGAATTATACTTAAAGTGGAAGAATGTATTTGTAAAATCTCAGCGAATGAATTTGAAGTAAATCCAACATATTTCGCTTGACAATCTGATTCAAGCTTTATATCAAGGAAATTTTTTACAAATACATTCTTTCACTTTAATGTGTATTACATTAACTTAATGCCTAAATACTATGAAACTATTCAATTAAATTTAAATGAAGAATTATACTTACTTTTAAAACATCATATACAGCTACTATACCTTCATTATCTTTTGTTAATATAAAACGTTTTTCAGGGCATATATGAAACTGTACAATTGGTGATCCACCTAGATACATATATTTTTAAAAAAATTATAAAACAACAAAAGGTTTGCACAAAGCTATCAGAAAAAACACATATTCAATAATAGCTTTAATTAGTATAATAATATTGGATGCGCACTGCTGAGGAGTCCCACAACAGGACGAAACGACCGTCCAGTTCTTCCAGGTTTTCTATGGTGGTTTAGCTTCAATCGACTCATGATCTCAACTACTGAAAAAAAGTTGTGTGCTCGTATCTGCTCGGATTATCGTATAGGTAATAGTGAGGTTAGAAGCAGTGTTGGGAAATGATGGTAAATCAGTTGATGAGGTTGTGAATCTTCCTCGACTGAGATGATTGGGCCACGTGTTACGTATGCCTGAACACTGATTAACACGATTTGCAAGGCTGACTAGTGTTGGAGACGGTTGGGAGGAAGTCAGGGGTGGCCAAACCAAAGCATGGCATCATCAACTTCTGCTATCAGCCATGTTGGTAGATGCAGACTACTTAGTTGGGGTACGTGCGACTCTCGTGACCAACTGGTTGGGGACTCGGGGTGATATATATATATATATATATATATATATATATATAGCTTGATAATAAATTCATTTAAAAGAGATTCTTTTCTTTTTTTACGGTTAAATAGGCATTATTTTACGAACTTGCAATGACAAGCTTAAACCAGATTTAGTTACATTTATTGTAAAAAGAAACAAAATTTCAAGAACCCAAATTTATTAACATAATAAATGATTGGTGAGTTAATGCTGTGGTGTAAATGCAGTTAATAAACCGTGATGTTTTTAGTACACTAGCTCTTTCTGACGTCATCACGTTGCATTGAACAAGATGGATGAACCATGTATTCCAAAAGTCAACTGACTGTCAATTTAAATGATGAAGAAAACACTCATAAATAACACGAGTTCACTCGACCTCCATTTAATAAATTGAAAGTGTTTAATGAAGCTTAGAAAAATACTCACGAGCTACATGTATTGACACTTTAATTAAAGTTAGTAACACTGAAGTTAAACATGAGCAGTGTGCTTATATGCTTCATGTCCTAATACCCTACTATATAGCGACGAAGAACAGACATACGACAATATTTTTGACTTTGAAAGACACAAAACTTTATCCCCATTATTCCCATATAGTCACTTGGAGTATTTAAAAAACTATGCACTCGATTAATGCCTTTACGTGACAGGACTACATTGTTTGAATGTTATGAATCAAGCATACATAAGAGTTTTTTGAAAAACACAATTAAGGAATCTGTTAATTAAAAAAAACAGAGAACAACGAGAAATCGGAATGAAGATCTAGGTGGTAGCTCCACATTAACTACTTCTCAGATTACCAGATGTTTAGATGATGAATTATTAGTATGATAGCCTACTTCTGAGAGCTTACAGGGATGCCTGAAATAATGAAAATGCAGACAGAGCATGTATATGGCGGGAAAATAAAGACTAATTGGAAGACAATAAGACTAACATACCCCAAAAACTTACGACGTGTTTATGATTAGTTTGTGTATTTTAGTCAAACTGATTCCGATATAATTTGTCTGTCTACTATCTTTTCTTTTTAAAAATCAACCAATCACTTATACTATGCTTAACTGGAGTACTGAATTCCATTAGAATCAAGGTAATCCATAACCCATTGATCAAAAAAAAATTTGTCAATGCAAAAAAATCCTACCTTTTATGACAAAATCAGGTTTTGAAGATAATGAAGAACTGTGTTTATCATTATTGTTATTATCATTATTATTGTCCATAGGTAAGGAACTGTGATCAGGATCATGACTGAAAACATCTGAAAGAGCATTACTGCTATTATTATTATTATTATTATTATTATTATTATTATTATTATTATTATTATTATTATTATTAGCATTAGATGGCAATGAAACGGGAATTGGATTGGATACAAATTCAGAGCATTTAGACATTGGCATAGATTTCTCTGTACTAGCATGATCTATATCAGTATTATTCTCACAATGATATGAATAATGTTCATGATCTACAATTGGTCGAGAACACATTCCAGTAGCATGGTGTTTAATAAGCTAAATAAAGCGAAAGGAAAAATATGCTTTGTAAATGGATACAATAAACATTAGATGAAAGCGAAAAAAATGAGTAATGTAACGAATATGTTTTGAAATAATGCCACTTAATTTCTAAATAGATATTAAATTGAATCCATTAGTCCCTTTAAAATGTTTACTACGTTTATAGATTGCGTTTATACAGTTTTATGCATACTTTTAATATATGCGTATCTCTCATAAAAGTACAAGTAAATGTAGGAATGAGATTCAGGATCCGAAAGGAACAAACGGAGTGTCCAGGTACGAGGTGGTTGGCCACATATAATATATATTTCGAAAATTCCAGTTGATAAAGATTTACTAACCTATCGACGAATGTTCTATCTTCGTCTAGTGTGATGTGTGCTACTAATGTCAACAGGTATAAGTAGTATGTAACGCCAGCCAGATTTGATTTAAACACATAAACATTGGTACAAGAAGGCACCAAATAGATATATGCCACATAAATCATCCGGTTTTTGTGAGGGCTGGGATACTACCCAGGTGCCCAAACCGAAGCACGTGACCTATAGGTCTAATTCACGAGGCAGTGGGGCAAATTTAGGAAATGCAGTCCCATGGTAGCCGGTGACCCACAATGGGTTCATACACCATTTGTTCCTTTAGGATCCTGGAGCTAATGTGTACCATTGGTTTGGAATGAGGGTTTTCCAACTCCCCTAGGTAAATCTCCCATATCCAACAACCCGGTTAAAGCTCCGGACATTCTCTTTTCGTCCACTCAATTTCATAAACAACACCCCCACCATGAGAAGGCAGTGAGTAGGACATCCTTGACAGTGGTTGTATGCACGTGGCCATGTGAAAGTAGTTTGAAAGGGAGGGTTGACTCTGTCCACTCCCGGCAGTACGAAGGCATTTGGGAGCCAATCAGAAATAGAATGCCTGGCAGCAGAAGGTTGAGAAGGTCAATTAGAAGAGAACGGGAACAAAGAATGATTGGTATGGAAAGGAAGGAACAATAATGTCTGAGACAATTGATGGACATTTTGCAAATGACGTATTTACTGTATGGTACTCAGATTCAACCAAGTCAGTCAGTCAGTAACAACGTAGAACTTCGTACGTACGTACATCAGTTCGAGTTGCCACACCACATTAGCACAGAGATGCAGTTGTCGATTCAAATCCCATAGTGGTAGAGGTAATAAGAGTATAAGCAGTAATCGGGAAGATTAGGGTTTGGAGATGTTATTTAAAGAGTATAATCCAGTGAAATAAATTTGGAAAGAGGAAAAAAGGGACATGGAGAATTCAGAAGATTAGAATTTGGGAGAACACAGAGAGTGGATGCACCTGCGCCATTGCAAACGATTTTGAGCCATGTCATTCAGCGTCTCTAACCAAGAGATTCTGTAATTTGGTATTCATATAGATTGGTTGTTCCCCACTTATGTTCTCGTTCATAACACTAGTACCCCTGCATCTAACATCAAGTTTATTCATTCAATGGTCCTGAAATACACTGTGTATAGTGTTTAGAATACATCGGTGATAAAATACTAGTAGCTCACAAATATCTTCTATTTTATAGAGACAACGTTTCACAATCACAAAATAAGACAGAACGAACTATTGTACAGTATACTTGTCACCTAGTTGGCAGAGAGATATCTCGCCTACGCCACAAGTGACACAAGTTAGCGAAACCTAATTATTTTATTATTAGGATTAAACAAACTATTTACATGAATAAATAAATCACTTAGTTTATGAATAATATTGGTTAATATAACCAATTCAAATTCAATAGAACTATTATTATTATTATTATTATTATTAAACTTACCCAACGTGACACATTTGTATTACATGTTGCAGACCATAAAAATGACTGGCTTCTACCTTCATGTAATAGGAGCTAGAAATTTTTTTAGAAACATGGAAACTTGTTAAACATATTTAAATGTCATAACATTTACTTGAGAAAAAAATGTGTACGAATTTAGTTAGTTTTACAAGTCAAGAATAAATAATTCATGTATTTATTTATTTATTTTAACACATAGATATTGGTACAAGGAGGCACTAAATATATATGCGCCACACAAATCTCATTTGATTTGTATGAGGGCTGTGATACTGCCCGGATGCCCAAACCAGTCAGTCAGTTAGTCAGTAACAACGTAGAACTTCGTACGTATGTACATCAGTTCGAGTTGCCACACCACATTAGCACAGAGATGCAGTGGTCGACTCAAATCCCATAGTGCTAGATGCCCAAACTGAATCATGTATATATAATGGTAATTTGCTATAAACCATAAAAAAATATCTGGTGACAAGGCAATATATAAAAATGTACGATAAGATAAAATATGAATTGTTTTAGGAAGCACAGGTGGATAATAGCTACTAGTAGAATCCAGGAAACACATTTTGTCCTATTTGGGACTCGTCAGTTGGATGTACTTACATCCGGGAGTTGTACCTGCAAGTACGCTCTGAATCCCACTGCTGACCACCATCCATCTCTACTTTAAATGCTTGTGATTTATGCCAAAAGAGACTAACTAATTGCAGTTCTAAAATGTCAATGGAAAGATCAAAAAACTAAAATTATGAACTGTTTTTCCTTTTATTATTTAAAATACCGCTAATTGAGATAAGTTAATTTGTCAATTTCTGTGAAACTTAAAAAAAACACCAGTGAAAAGAACGTAGGACGATTGTATTCAGATATACACATACAATCTGGTTAAAAATGACGTGAAACTTCTCTTTATAATGTGGTTAGAAGTTGACAACAACGTCGTAAGTTGAAGGGAAAACGCTTGATTTGATAGTTGCATTGTTCTTTTCAATGAAATAAATTGATTACATTAAAAGTGAGCAGTTTCAAACTAATAAGTGATGGAAAGCTACCATGAACAACTGTTATAATTTCTCTTATTATGACCCAGCCAGTCCTATTTACCTGATATTCTTGGACACCGATTCACTCGACAAATTCCCAAATTAGAACACGGTTGAACAGGAACGAAATTATATTCCAAATAATAAGGGTAGATAGAAGTAAGAAGCACAATAAGAAAAACATTAGTATATTTATTGTTTTTACATCAGAATATTCTAGAGTATTCTCTAAGTATCCGCTAACGTTGATTGGTTAATGAATAGCCAATCACCGCGCCCCGACATAATTCTAGACGGAACGTGCTTTAATCCAATCTAGATTCCGCTAACAACAAGTTGAACACAAGTGATATATTTGATTTCATTATAATTATTCACAGTCTGAATACTTTAATTTTTTTCTTCTTAAAGTCAAATTATGCAAGAAATTTACAGCCACAAAAATGATGAACTATTTATAAACTGTCATTTTATTTAGACATGCTTTAAATCTAATTACAATTGAGAAGCCTATAAAATCAAGTTTTATTACGAAAGCCAAAAATCAATCCATATGTAAAAATCATAGGTGAATAATATTCCATAATAACCAAAAACATATGTTCTATTCCATTTATCAGGTTTATTTTTCCAGAGTTAATCATTATCGGTTAACTTAATTATAGGAGTTCGGGGGATTTTGATGTTCTTGCTTCGGGAAAACACAATCTAAATTTGCCCCAAAATGCCTTGGTACGGCCGAGAGTGGAGAGAGTCCGCTCTCCCTCTCCAAGTGCTCTCACATGGCCACGCATATATAACCTCTGCCAGGGAAGTCCTACTCACTGCCTTTTCCTGGCGGGAGTGTTGTTTACGAAAATGAGAGGACGAAAAGCGAATGTCCGGAGCTCTAACCGGATTCCAAACCAATGGTGCACATGGGCTTCAGTATCCTGCAGGAACAAATGGCGTATGAACCAATTATTGGTCACCGGCTTCCATGGGACTGCATCTCCCTACGATGCTCCACTGCCTTGTGGATCAGACTTTCAGGTCAAAGGTTAGGGGAGTGGCCCCCTAATAAAACTACCTGTTTCAGTTTGGGCACCCAGGCAGTGTCACAGCCCTCACACAAATCAAGTGAGATTTGTGTGGCGCATATGTATTTAGTGCCTCCTTGTACCATTATCTATGTGTTAAAATAAATAAATCTAAATTTGGTAGTGTTGACAACTCTTCAGTTAGAATGTTGACGAGTCGAAATATTTTCGATATGTCTCCCGACTACTAGATAATTTTCCGGCAACCTGACAATAATCACTTCAATTTCGAGTTATATATGACAAATTTTGAAGCTAATGAGTTATATAATCATTCAAAAAACCCAAACAATTTATATCCAGTAACAAAAGGCGTAGTATTGTTTACAACGATACTGATCTACCATAGTTAATATGATGAAGAGTACTCTGATTTTGTTCACTATACAAAACATCATTTTCTTTTCTTTATAATAAACAATGAGTTGATTGAAACATGAAGTTGTCTAACTGAAATATCGATATTTTACAAAAAAAATTTCGATATTTAGAACAAATACCTTTAAGACTGGATCCGTCTCTTCGCCAATTAATGTAGAATTACCAGGATTATGCAAATCAGTAGCCCAAATCTTACGATCTTTACCAGCGGAATAAACAGTTGACCAATTGTTATTCACCTAGAATCAATAAGTTAATGCTATCAAATACTCAGAACAGTTGTTTTTAAACACAATACATACCGAATGAAATTTTAAGTCATACCGATTATGTAAAAGAACCTATCATATTAAATTTCCAGGCAAAAAGCACAACCAATTAACGTTCACAGATTTATTATTTGAAATCGGTGAGGGATCTCAGACAACTATTGACAACCAGGAACCACTGGAAAGGTGTTTCATTTTAGTATGAGACTCATCGATTTTAAATTCATATGGTTGCAAAAAACTAAGGTATGTTCTACCAAGATATTTAACAGACATTTTATACAGTTATCAAACTTTAAAAACATGAATAGGACAAATCTTTGGCATTTTAATGTGTATTTGCCGACAGTTTATTAATATATTGGCTTGAGCATAATTGCCTAGCGAAATACTGAAATAACAGAAGTGGTCTAAATAAATATGGGGCCAAATGCACGACTTTCATTCAGTTTCAAGTGATGCTAACGATTAGTTCATGGGACTAACTCAGATCTGCTAATTCTCGACCGCAGGTGCTAACTTGACGTCATGGTCGGACATACATAACGTGGTGGCGTAATCGAACTATGTTTGTCAGAATGTTTATTCATTTAACTCATACGTTGTCATGCAGGGCCCAGGAATCTTCGATGGGGGCGGTAAGGCCTTAAAAGTACGGATCTGACACATTTAAAACTACTTAAAAAACACCTTATGTGACCACCATCAACCAGTTTTCCTTTGAACTTTGTAGCCACACTCCCAGATCATAAGGACCATCATCAACTCCTTGTCAGTTACCTACCTTATGAAGAAGTGGTCTTCCACGGTGTAAATAACAGGAAAGTGGTAACTCCCCTCACACCAATAACAGTACTTAAGATCAATTTTAACCTAACAATTGAAAGTTATGTATTTTAAACAATAAAATAAACGGTTTAACATAGTGATGGTATATATTTAGTTTCAGATAGTAAGGATAAGAAAAAATATGAGCGTTAAAATGTTCATCGATTTCTTTAGTGGGTTTTACTTGCAACCTTTGGGCAAAACTTATCTTACCAGTCTCACTGTGAAAGATAAAACCATTTACTACTTAAATATAGACAAAAAGATCTAAATGAGTTCACAACCTTATTGAATAATATCACTATCAAAAAAACTGTAAGCAAACAGCAAGAGACTAAGTGGGTTATAAAAGGCAAAACCAGGTCAATTGGTTTCTTCGATAAATTTTAAACTTCAATACAATCCAATAATCTAGTACAAATTCATGCATCCAAATTCTAAGATCGAAAAATGTGGAATGGAGTTCAAAATTGATACAATTCGATGCTTATAAATCCACCACATAAATCATTTATTCGCCGATTATCCGGCATTTGTAATAGTTGTACAAATACCTACAATTAACGATATATTTAACAACCGAGTCTATTAGAAAATAGGTGACAATGTACAACTACCATGATACAAAATCAACGTCAATATTGATGTCTACCACTCATGAAGAATTGTAGTAATAGAGTAAAACACATTAATAGGCAGGAGGAATGTGTATTTATTGGAAGGGGTTACAAAGTATTTACATAATAGGTACATATAGCCTTCAATCGTTCATTTGCACTACCCGGTGTTCTGTAATCTGAACTGTCTTCAACAGTGGCCTCCAAGTGTTCTACCAACGCTGTGCTTCCGATGCATTGAAACTCTTCACTTTGTCCGGCAATTGTTGCAACTTCAATACCACATTTCACTATACACAACTTAAGAACATCCTTGTGAGTAGTGTCCACTACAGTAGTAGTCATCAATACGCTAAGTGACGCAACAAGAAACTTAATATGTGGTTTTAGCTGGAAGAAATGTAATGACTCAAGCTATTGCATCAATAAAAAATGTGGAATTAAAGTTGTCAAAGGTGACACCAATACGATAACTTGACTTTAATTCTTCTTTATAGCAATAAAACCATTTTATAGTAATATGTCGCTATTTAAATGAATATTCTAGTATGCTACTACAACTGCTAAGAAATCGTAAGAAATAAGTCACGATAAAATAATTGAAAAAAAGTCAAGAAACGAGTGCGAATTATTGACAAACTTAGAGAAGAAGAGTAATTCAATTACCTACCTGTAATGTAAATACACTTTCACTGTGTGTGCGAATGGTATCTGTACATCGTTGCATACCAAGTGACCATATTTTAATTGTTCCATCAGAACTACCACTAATAATCTGAATGAATATAAGAAAGTTTGATCAGAGTGACACCACTCGCAAACAATTATAATGTGAAGTTAAGCATGATTTTAATAATGGGAAACAAACATAAACATTTTTAAGCAAAGATGGATAGTGGCTAGCAGTGGAATCCAGGACGCGCGTTTCGTCCTGTTTGGGACTCGTCAGCTGGATGTACCTGCATCTCAGAGTTGATGTTCACTCTGGGACTCGAACTCAGTACCGTCCGCTTCAAACGCCATAGCGTTATCCACTTAGCTACTGAGTCCTGATAGCCACTTGCTTGTGCAATGGGTTGAAGTTGAATTCACGTGATATTGTTTTACTTGAATTTTCCCATTGATGTTTTTTTTTGACTGAAATTGATCAGTCTCTTATTGGCATATCGAGGCATACGCACAGTATGCACATATGCCAATAAGAGACTGATCAATTTCAGTCAAAAAAAAACATCAATGGGAAAATTCAAGTAAAACAATATCACGTGAATAAACATTTTTGTTAAAGTCTTGGAGATATCACAGTAATAAGTGGTTGATCCGTAAAGAAAAACGAATGAACTGCTGCGTAGTATACCCGTCCTTTAATTGACAGATGAGCATCTCACCTTCGTCATAGGTGACGTTGTGGTGTGCGCGACTGATGTCGACAAATATAAGTAGTATATATCACTAATAGAAAGTGAAATGCCTGGTGGCAGAAGGTTAAGAAGATCGAAGAAAAGAGAATGATTGCTGTGGAAATGAAGGAACAGTGAAGTTTGAGATGATTGATTGACATTTTGCAAATGAAGTATTTACTGTATGGTCCTCAGATTTTACTGACGTTCTGTAATTTTGTATTCAAATGCATTTGGTTGTCTCCACTCGTGTTCTCGTTCATTACAACGTAAGTTGGCAAAAGCCAGATGAGCTTTTTGAATCCGTGTAGGGGTTTCGTCAGACACCAACCCATTAGGGCTGATCAGAATTCCAGGATAAGTGAGGCTGTCGACGCGTTCGACTACTTCACTCTCTGTCCTTAGTTAACGCAGAGTAGTCCTGAAGCAGCAATTTGCACTTAGAGGGGGAGAAACGCATCCCAAACACCATGGCATTATTGCTCGATGCTACCAAAAGACTCAGTATTTTATTAGCGTCTTCACCAAACAGGACTGTCATCTACGTATTCTAAGTTAATAAGTGGACTTACTGGTAGGAGATCAATTTCTGAAAATTCATTCTACGAGAACGTTATTTCCAGAAGTAGGTCTATGATGAGACTGAGCACATTTGCAGCAGACGATCACCGTTATGTGTTCGCTGAGCCGGAATACTAAAATACCCAACTAAATGTCTTTCTGGTTTAATCAACCTATTTGGGCATTAGAGCCACCTACTATGAGTACTATGAGTGTTTGGCTTTTTGAAGAAGTTCAGAAAGCATTCTGTAGAATTCATCTTTCACTTTATTCGGGGTGCAGCCAGTGGGGGCGTAGGCAGAAATGACGAAAAGGCAACGACGCATGCCGCTATCCTTACGAGTTCTTACGGGGCCGTTTCGCCGAACAGTACATGGGCGACTGTTAACAGGGATCCATTCTAAAAGTGCCTTTTCTCCCCTCATACACAGTATTAGATTTTATCTTCAAAGTTAAAGTTTTACTTAACGTTAATGATCACGAACAAATAATTAAACAGTTTTATACATTAAAATTATTGCAGGTAATTAGACTATCAAAACATTTCAGTGCCTAATATACATTAAAATAAACGATCAGTTTTTTTTAGAAACTAGTGACATGAGAAGTTATAACTTACCTCTTCACCATTTGGTCGAACAGCAAGTGCACGTATACTATCAGTATGACTTCGTAAGTCAAAAGGTTTACTACGTGATCTAGGATCCCATACCCATATTCTTTTATAAGGACCACCAGCTACTATGACTGTCCCAGATGGATTCATAGCTAAGCTATATGTACTTTCGTCATTTGTTGTCAGTGGACGAGCTTAAATAAAACAGACGTGAAAAATATAGGAAGAGGAGACAGCAATGTGAAAAAACGCACTTTCAAACAGAAAGTAATCTGCAAATACTCGTGTATAAGTTGGACTCCAAGCCAAAAGGTTTTGTCAGTTAGATGCAAAACTCAGAAAAAAAACTGTTAGAAGACAGATGGATTAAGCTAAGTGAACCAGAGACACTAGCAGTCAGTCTACCCTTTGTGGAAACTTTTGGGAGTAATTATCTACTAGAAAAGTCGGGTTAGTAAATATATAAATTTGAAATTAGAAGGTTACTGGGAGCAAAATGATAGAAACAAGGAAGTGGATTGTACACGAAAATTTAAAAACCGGAATAAATCCAAGGTGCGTCGTTACAAACAAACAAAAATGCCCATTTTATAAAAAAATTAAATGAGGTTGATACGATTTAACTCAGTCACTCTTTTCTTCACGATGTATATGCTAAAATGATCAAAAGCATAATTAAACTATACATGCTAATTGTTTTCGGCATCTGAAAATAGGACTTGAAATAGTGCGTCAATACAAGGGGGAATACTACTTAAGCATTTAGCGAAAAAGTATGAATAAAATAAAGTTTAGGGCTGGATTGGAATGTGAATTGAAACAACTAAGGAAACACCATAGTATACTAAATGGGTAATTTACGTTTAGGAAACGTCGATAGCAACCAGATCCTGAGCTATTCTTCTCACAGCTTAGCAACAATTACAGAGTATTACTTGCGGTAGTTAGTACTTTTCCATGCTTAAGTGAATGATGCTAACTTTTGGACAAACTATTCACTAGCAGATTATCATGAAATATCTAATTCATATTATGGCCAATAAACAAACTTCCACGTAGTTTTTTATTCACTCCACTAGTGAAGAAAAAAGTAATAATGATTGTTATTAATACTAGCCATTAGTTTACGACTGGTAAGGCATAACAGTCTTAAAGTTTATCAAGTTTCAATCGAAGTATGACTTAGTGGCATGATGTATGTTGTGATACTTACTTTCAACTGTATTATTAGTTGGTGTAAGTGCTGTAAGTGTTCTTATATCCCACAAAAATATTGCGCCATCTAGACCAGCACTAGCAACTTCCTCACGATGTTGGGCGTAGGCAAGCACTCGAACATAGTCTTTGTGTGTACCCAGAGTAGACATACAAAATCCTTTTGTAGCATTCCAAACCTTCACTGTCGTATCATTTGAGGCAGATATGACTAAAAATAAACAAATGATCCGGATAAGTATGCATACAAAAGCATTTTGTTAATTCGAGAGATGAAAAGCATATAAAGGGTTTCATTTAAGTAATTACCTTTATCTGACTTAGTGTCTGAATTATAATCATAATATTATGTGTAGTGGAAGAACTTGTCTATTCAAAAACTGTAGTACGGGGACAAACAAAGATGATGGGAGATAAAAAGGAAAAAATCGGAGAAATAACTGTATGAACCTTGAAGCCGAAATATATTACCACTTACTCAAAGCTCATCAACGAATTCAATGATACCGTAAGGATCACATTATCAGACAAGTAGATTTACGTTGATATATTAGGTTTTCAGCAATTTTTTATGTGACACTATCCGGCAGGCGTAAACTAAAGTAGATGAAGTGTGATTCGAACTTGACACTTAGTAACTAAAAGTCGACTACTATGAAAATTAAATTAATACTTCTGTTCAGCTTTGAGTAGCACTAGTTTATCTCCACAGAGAATGAAAAAAACTAAGGGATATCATCAAAGAAAATGGTCCATAGATTTCAGTAAAACAAATTTCGAAAGTAACTCGAAAAACTTTGTTCTCCAACTATATATGCCCTGTAAAGTCTAAGTTAGTTAAGGCAACCTATTACGTATACTACAAAGCTGCTCTGAAACAAGCCAATACAAACGACTATGTGGATAAGATGTAAATATTATTGGGAAAAAATGTTACAGTAACGAGCTACAGCTTAGTAAGAGCTGAAAAACCTCTTTCATTAGCAGTGCCACTCTTAAAGTTGGAAAGCAAATCAAGGCAACCTGTTTAAATTAGAATCGCTGAGTTCGCAAAACATTTAATGAACGTCGAAGAAGACTTTCTTATAGAGGAAACGGGATTTCCAAAGATTTTAGGACAAGACAGTGCTTCTGTAAAGACTACAAACAATACACTGCACAACCAGTAGAGCGCATAACATCTATTTCAATGAGCTCAACTAACCATATAATGTAGATTTATTTACCTTCTGTTGCGAAATTTCTAAAGTCAGTGTACTACAAACAACTGTCATAAGGACTAATGTTTGAACGAATCCATAAAGAACGATTTGTAGAATATAAGAAATGAATGAAAAGTTTGAAACCAATCTGATACGATAAACAATAACTACGGGACTGGGTTGTCTAACACACTCTCGTGCATATATATCTGGTGCCTGTGAGGCGCATATATATCTGGTGTCCCCTTGTACCAATAATTGTGTTCAAATAAATAAATAAATAAAATAATAAACTCCCGTGTAGAACGTACTGAAGAACTCCATATACTGGCACGTTCTGGGTTATCACTATCATTAACATACTATTATCGATTATACATCAGGTTTTTGACTTTTACATCCCAAATCAGCACTTATTCACTCACATTTTGAATTGCTGGTTAGTCTTTGCATCGAGACTTGTACAGTGAGACTGATTTATGGACGACCTTTGGGCGACGCCAAAGTGACATGGAAAGTGTCCACCTCCTTAGTAGGGTTAAATTAGTTATGTATTAATGTATGCCATCAGATTTAGGGTTTACGTCACGAATTGACATAAGCTTTAATGGTTAAATGCTATTTAGCCATACATGTTGATGAATTTTGGGTCGAAATTCAAGACCTGCTATCTTAAACATGATTGGTTCGTCCATGAATTGTAGACGAGCCACATATGTTAGTGGGTATTTCGTTTGGTGAAAAATGTGATTATTGTGAACATGACCAAGGTCAGCCCTATTAATATGCTGGTTTATGGACAGACTAATTATAAGTCGATTTGAAGGGCGAGAAACCCAGGTCTAGTTTTAGTAAAGATTATCATGCAGACGAGGTTTCATACGTGTACAACTAGAAATCGGTCAGCTTGAACAAAAATAAAGCAAAACACCTGTATATCATCTCCACGAACAAGAATCTAAACACACCTCAATAAGTAAGCAAAAAAAATCTCCGTAATAAAATAAACGACAAACGTTGACAGGAGAGTTGCGAAATAAACACCAGTAGGACTTCTTGCACATAATGGATATCCTAAATGAACACTCATGAATATCGGTGAGACTATAATTTATGGATGAACCAATCACGTTTAGGACAAGTCTTGGATTTTGGAGCGAAATTCATTCATCCATCCGGTTAAAGGGCGTTTTGAGATTTTAGCTTATGTCGGTTCGTGATGAAAACTTTAAATTTAACTCCTAATCTTAACCATCAACTGCAGATCATGATCCTTATTCTTCACATATGTTTGTAACACTCGCATAGCTCTAGCAAGTAAATGAACATTCTCAAGGCCACTTTAACGTCAGTCAATCGTTTCCAGAAGTCATAGTCTCACTATAGTGACTACACAAATATCACAGATTTACATACAAATAGAAACAAAAGCTTGTAACGTACGATTTTTGCCACCACAACAGAGTACAATGTCTGTAACCCAGTCAGCATGATGTTCCATGGTATGCACAAGAGGATCCTAAATTAAACCACAAATATGATAAAATTATGTTACAGAATTGCAAAGCATACCGATTGCCTTTTAGTGTTCCAAACCCTGATAATGGAATCCCGACCAGCAGTGAACAGTCTGTCTGTACACGGATCATACTGCAGCGAGTTTACGCCTGAACGATTTTTCGGTTCGATTTCAGCTCGTATGAAGAAGGATAAACGACCCTTCTTCCGACAAGCATTCATGACAATACTAACTTAACCTCACAGACAACTTCGAACAGCTCTTCTATGGGATATACAAATATTAAAAGTGAATTAGTCTAGAGCCACATCGAGCTGAAGAACTGTGAGGTGCGAAACACACCACCACAGTACCGCTTTTGTAGTTTTCGGCGCTCAATAAAATCTTTCAATAGACAATACACTAGAGTAACGATCACTTTTCATTATGGAAATCTACAAAAATTTTCATTCGACCAAATCCTGAATTATATATAACGTGGTCAAATGACTCTCAGTTTCACTGATTTTTTCACCGTAGTTAGTGAACTGGATTAAGTCATTTCATTGATTCATATTTGTGTAGTAAGGACAGAAGGCAGAAGTAAATCTACAAAATTTTTCATTCGACCAAATCCTGAATTATATATTACGCGGTCAAATGACTCTCAGTTTCACTGATTTTTTTACCGTAGTTAGTGAACTGGATTAAGTCATCTCATTGATTCATATTTGTGTAGTAAGGACAGAAGGCCAGCGGCCTTCTAGTATACTTCTGTGGGTGTCCAGCCTTCTCTTGAAAGAGTCAATTGAAAGTGCAAACACCACTGCTTCAGGAAGCAAGTTCCAAGTATTGATGACTCGGTGTGAAAACCTGTATGCCACGGGTATTTTGTTCGTTCTTGGCTTTTCTACTCGCCTGCTATGTCCTCTGAGGTGTCCCGATCTAGTGGGAAGAAAGAGAGAGAATAAAATAGGTTCAGAATCATTTATCAGTGTTCTGTACATCAACATTAGATCTCCCCTTAGTCTGCGATAGGACAGAGTAAAGAAGTCCAGTTTTTCAAGCCGCTCTTTGTATGAAAAACCCCGGAGTTCCGGAATTGCACGGGAAGCTGCACTCTGTACTTTTTCTAGCATGTCCGAGTCACCTTTTGAGCAGGGGCTTGCAGCCTGAACGCAGCTCTCTAGCTTAGTTCTCACTGAGGATGTGTGTACTGTGGTGAACATGATAGTATCTAACTTAGTGAATGTCCTTTTTAAAGCCCAGGGGTCCGAAACCCCTTGACTGCGACCTCCCGGCAATCGGCCGTCGTCTTAAGATCATTACTCACTGTCACCCCTAGATCCTTATGAGACCGGACTACGGGTAATGACACATCCCCTATGTTGTAATTATTAACCTTTGAATCCCCCAAGTGCATGTAGACACACTTTTCCGCGTTGATAGGCATCAGCCACTCTTTAGACCAGTTTGTCATATTATTTAAGTCCGCCTGAAGAGTAAATGCGTCTTTATCCCCAGTTATTACTCGCCAAATTTTTACATCATCAGCGTATAATAACATTGGAGACTGTACTATACTTGTAAGATCATTAACGTACATTATAAAAAGTAAAGGACTTAGGACGGAACCTTGGGGTATTCCACTAAGTACTGGTCTCCAGATGGAGCACTTGGAATTTATTCTTACTTTTTGTCTACGACCTACTAGGAAATCCTTAATCCATTTTAAAAGAGGTCCGGTAATACCAAGGTTTTCCGACTTCAATATCAGTCTGTTAGTTGGTACCTTGTCAAAAGCCTTACTGAAATCTATGTAGACAACATCCACTGAGTTTCCGTTGTCTAGCGCATAAATCCAGAACTCCCTTGCTATAAGGAGGTTCGTTGTACAGGATAGACCCTTTCTAAAACCATGTTCTATGTTAAGCAAGTTATTGGTTTCCATAAATGCCGTTATGGTCCGTTTGATTATTCTTTCCAGTATTTTAATCACAACACTGGTGAGGCTTACGGGTCTGTAATTCGACGGAACTTTTCGTGGACCTGTTTTATGTATGGGAGTGACGATTACGTCCTTCCAGTCCATAGGTAACACACCTTGGTCAAGTGACATTTTGAATATCACAGTCAGTGGGGCTGCGATATATTCGGCAATATGTCTCAAGATTTTAGGGTGCAGTTCATCTGGTCCTGTTGACTTCTTCCTGTTTAGGATGCTAAGAGCCTTTAGCACATCGTTTTGGTCGAAGTCCACGGTGAGCAGTTGGTTTGTTGACTCTGTAATTGGGTCTGGTTCTTTCTCTAGAGGGGGTTCCTGAGTGAACACTGCCCAAAATAGTCAGCCATAACCTCAGCTTTTTCCTGATCTTCCTCTATCATTTCAGATTCACTTCCTACTTTGAGTAGGTTGGGAATCCAATGATGAATCTTTGTTCTGTAGTTTATGTACGAGAATATCCTCTTGGGCTGCTCGAGTGCAGATTGTGCCAGCTGCATTTCATATTTTCTTTGTGCTTCCCGAATTTTAGTTATTCACTCGTTTCTTATCGATCTGTAGCGTTCCATCGTACCTGATGTGCCAAGGCGGATGGCAAAATCCCAGCATTTCTTCCTTTGTCTTAGTAAACGTCGAATATCCCGCCCTATCCAGGGATGTCCGTGCTTCTTTTTCTTTGGGACAGTCTAGGGTATGTATGGTTGAGTTACCCGATTGCATAACTGCCTGAATAGAGTCCATGCCTCTTGTACTGATGCCTTTGAGTCAATTTCCCAGTTCTCAGTCGATGCTGCGGAGTTAATTGCCTGCATATCTGCCTTCCATATGTTAGGACGGGACGGCGCAACTGTTTGACAGGCAATCTCAGCTATGAATTTGAATAAGATGACTGCATGGTCACTTCTCCTAAGTGGTGGGAGAAAAGCCATTTGACCAACGTCATCACCGTGTGTGAAGACTAAATCTAAAAGAGAAGAAGAGTTTTTTAAGTCGTATCTTGTGGGATCTCTAATGTGTTGGAATAATGCTAATCCAACCGAGGTTTCTAACAGTTTGCGGTTTTTCTGAGGACTTTCGGAATCCACCTTTTTTCCTATCCTATAAAGCTTACAAATACTAATTCCTGAAACTGTATCTGGGAGTAGTTTACTTAATGATGTCTTAATATGATTGAGATCGTGTTCAAATCTCGCCTTTGGTTCTTTATATGAAGCTTCTCTTATCTAATGAAAAAAGACTGATCTCTCAGAGAGATCTGTCTTGTCGCGCAGTGAGGATTTTTCTTCTGATAACATCCCTTCCAATGCCTTGCTGACCAGCTGCGTTTTACCCACAGCCTTTTCCTTCCCATTTCTTTTTCTCACTGATGAAGTCCATTTGTCACCACTCAGGACAGCCACACCTGGACTATGTGGAACGGTGACAGTTTTTCCAGATATTCTATTTCGACTAGAGGGAATGTTGAGCACAACGTTCCCACTCGTGATCTGGTGCGGATGCAGCTAGGTAAATCCATTAGAACTAATGTGGCCAGCATCCAATGAAGAAGACTTACAGAGCTATTTATATTGGGGATTTATTTACCGCTACAGATCACTCCTCGCTAGTGGGGTATTGATGACCCTAAGACGTGCCCAGCCAATAGTTTAAACCCAACTAGTTTTGTCGTCGGTAAACACTCTTCTGATAGCTTGCTAGATTTAGCAGCGTCCGATCGTCTTTCCTTGCTATGAGGGATCAAAGAGTACAATATAGTAAAAAAGTAATATACAATCAAAAGTTTGGTTCCTCGTAAACCTCATCGTTCTTTTTATCGTCTTTTTCAGCCATCCTGGAAAAGAAAAATAGAATAAGTAAGTGCATGTCGAAATAAACTCTTACTGGTGTAAAAACACAAAGTGGGCGAAAAAATGGAAAATAAACACATTCACAAATAATAGCGTAAAAAAAGGATTTTTATGATATGGTTTTTTTGTTTTGTCTTGTTTTTTTGAAATAAAAATATAAATGTATAAGCATATTAAAATTGGTTTTTTAAATATTACATATAGTACAAACAAAAATCGAGATGATATAAAATGTCAACTAGTATCTTAAGTGCATTAATCGTTCAAATGTCCTGGAAATCTTACTCTTCTTCCAGAACGCGTTGTCTTAAGTTTATTTTCAGATACAGTCGGAGTATCATCGTGTGTGTTGGCTGTCGGATGAGGTATTATGAGTGTCGGAGCCGTATCGTTCAATTGTACCGAAGGGAAGTCGACGTGGATGGGATTTCCTTCTAAATACGCTGCTTTGAGGCGATCGATGCTGATGCTATCGTTGGCTCCGTTCTTATCGATTATAAAGTGCTTGGGTTCGCGTTGAACAACTTTGAAGGGTCCTTCGTATGCTGATTCGGAAGGTCGTCGATGCGAGTCTCGACGTACGAAGATGTGTGTACTATATCGTAAGTCAGGTTGAACGAAAACATCAGTTGATTGCGGTCGAGTGGAAACAAGTTTAACTGAACGCATTGCGTTTGTAAGCCTGTTCGTGTAGGAGATTAGATCCATGTTCATTGAAGATGAAGGATGCACGAATTCTCCTGGAAGTCGAAGTGTAGTTCCTTAAACGAGTTGAGCCGCAGTGTATCCAATGTCAGCTTTCATTGCGTTGCGAATACCTAGTAGGATGAGTGGAAGAGCGTCAGTCCACTGAGGAATGTTTGCAGCTGATAGAGAAGCTTTTAGTTGTCGATGAAAGCGTTCTACCATTTCGTTTGTTTGTGAGGGTAGGCGGTCGTTCGGGAGCGAGTGATTCATAAAAATGTGGTCAGACAGATGCACTTCCATTAGAGTAAAGTGTGGTTCTAAGGCAGAATGTGAAACTTGTCATTTTATTTCAAGACGATTAAACAAGAGTAAACAAAGATGTTCTTAAGCCTACAAGGAAGCTTTGGCTGTAATATGAGCAGTAAAAACTGGATAAATACTCGTTTTGGGTAAAATTCCACACTGTAGCGGACCATCAGGAGTTACTTTTTACTTATCACCCAACTAACCCACCTCACTCATCATCTGTTTGAACAACCTAGGGATGGATTTCAGTATTGAGTGACTGTGATTTCCTCATCGAGCACCGAGTATCTGCAAGTATTTTGCTAGAAGATTTTCTGTCATGATATTCTTATTTTAAAAGATCACCAGATGAAAGTGATTGTATGTTAGCCCAACCATCACTTAATAATATAGTTGAAATCGAGAAGGATACACGTGTTTTGGGACGGTTATAATTGCGGCACGAAGGGGCTGTCATTTCAAGTGCAAACGTAAATTTACCGAGTTTTACAAAAGCTGAGGAGACGCAATTCTACATCCTGGAGGCTTTTGTGCTTTAAAGACTGAAGGATCATTCCTCAAACACTGAGATATTATAATGATTAGAAGCATCTGAATTATTGTACTAACTAGGAATTCCCGCAACAGTGCAATTTAAGCTGGACAGAACTA